AGGTCCTCAGACAAGGGTTGTACCATTGGTGTACCAAAAAAGTAAATTTTTTCTGAATTTTTACCACAAAAATGGACATAGCTAAGTATTTTAAGGCAAATTAGACAATTTTTTGTCATTTTTGACCAACTTTTATTTTGTATTAGTATAGTATTTTATTGTGATCAAAGGTTGGTGTACCAAAAAAGTATATATTTTCTGAATTTTAGTATTTTAAGACAAATTAGTGTAGTTTTAGTTATTTTTGAGAAACATTTATTTTCGAAGTTTGGTTCAGAAACGTATTGCTAAAGTATTTTACTGTGATCAAAAGTTGGCGTACCAAAAAGTATATTTTTCTCGAATTTTAACCACAAAAATGGACATAGCTAAGTACTTTAAGGCAATTTTGTGTATTTTTAGTCATTTTTGAGAAAGTTTTATATAATGTAACTTTTGTTTTTTCAAATGTTTAGTGGTGATACTTGGAACACTTGGTTGAGTTTCAATACTATTAAGACATACTGTACCATGAGTAAAGAATGTCCCTCTTGTGGTGTGACAAGGTGAGGCTTTTACCTTTTAGTGTGTCTAGTGTGTCTTCCGGTGAGAATGTAGAACTTGTCCTTAACGAAGACGCAAGGTTTGTATGCTGATGTTTTCCTGGGCAAAGTGTCAGGGTCAGCTGAAAGAGAGTTTGTTAAAGAAGCTTTGTTAGTGCCATGCATGTGTTTGCCTCTTCTGAATCATTCTTAGTAACACAGGTGAGGGAGTCTATCTTTGGGGAAATTTGACATTTTAAGAATTTTTGGGGCACAAAAGTAAGTTTACTCAGACCAAGTTTGATATTTTTTAAAAACAAACCATTTGTTATGGTGGGCATCTGTAAACACACTACACACTGTTCTGTTCCTGACTCTCTCTATGTTCCTGTACAGATCCACACAAGGCCAGGACAGCACCAGCTCTCTCAAATGACCCCTGTGTTAAATCCCCCAGCACCCCCACCCCCACCTCCTGCTCCACCTACTCCTCCTGTGGGCCCCCCAGCCTCATCCCCTCTGTCCCCCCTTTCACCTACCATTTCTCTGCTGGAAGAAGGAGACCTTCGCAGTGTGGACCCATGCAAGGACCTCTGGGGGTCCAGAGGTTATGAGGACTACCGACGGGCAGGTACCACCAGAACTATGGTTGGGGGGCTAACTGGTGGAGTAGTTGTGGGTGGTGGAGGGAGTCACCAGGACAAGTCAGAGCTGTGCGTGGTTCGCTTCGAGAAGGAGCTGGCAGGAGTGGGAACTGCGGGCTGTGATGTGACAGTGAGCTTGGACAGTAAAGCTTCCCAGAGATTGTCCTCATCATCGCCCACTTGTACGTCCATGCCCAATGCTGTGTCAGGCGTGTCCTCAGGTGCCGGTTCGCCCCAGGAGACGGGAAAAGGCTCGCCCTCTCCATGCTGCATCCACGCCTCCCTGGCCACGCCCCGCTCACGGACTCGTAAGAGGGGAGGAGGCACCAGCAGCAGCGGGGACCAGGGCGTCATCTCGCCAGACGACGACAGCCCATGTCCTCAGGCTTCATCCTGCTCGTCTCGCTGTGTGTACTGTCGCTCTGTTTTCAGCGCATCAGAAAATGGGCGAGGCCGCTGCAGAGATGCCCCCGACCCAGCCCTGCACTGCCTACGCCAGTGGACCTGTGTGTGGTGTGCAGAGAGCCTGCTCTACCACTGCATGTCAGACTCTGAGGGAGAGTTCTGGGAGCCTTGTTCATGTGATGACTCCATGGGGGGTCACCCACACCCCCTTTGCTGTGCCCGCTGGTTGGCCCTCCTGGCCCTGTCGCTCTTCGTGCCCTGCATGTGCTGCTACCTACCTTTGCGCGCCTGCCTACGGTGTGGGGAAAGGTGTGGCTGCTGCGGGGGAAAGCACAAGGCGGTCCGATGAGGCCAGGCTTGGGGGTGGGAGGGGTTCCCTGGACCTGGGGGATTTGGATATCAAAAGGAGAGACCATTTGAAGGGATGTAGGAGGTGGAAGTTGGTGCTCTCCTTGAGCCAGACCTCTGACGTGGCCCTCCAAAGCCCCCGGGCCTTCCACTGCATTCCGCTCTTTCTACTTTCAACCTGGGGCCTTCCTCTGTGGTCCACACCTGCTGAAGGTGTGCTGTACTCAGACCAGGCTCTGTGGGAGTCATCTGGAGCCTTCATTGTGGATTTCCCAAGGTTGGCTCTTCTACAGTTCCACAGCAGTCGGTGACTATGTTGCAAGAAGAGTGGCAGAAACAAAGATGGTGTGTACACTGTTTCAAATGTCCGTTTTTTTTTTTATTTAGAAAGATAAAAAAAATCCCACAAAAACAAAAGATGTTTATATATATAAAATTGATTGTAATAATTTAAATTGGTATATTTTATTACATGTAAACCATTTCGAGAGTACACCCAACACCCATCACCACCTACTGCCCACCGCTCACACAGACATGTATTCGTGAACATGAGATTTTGGCCTGTTTATCAGTCAGATGAAGAGAAATCACACTTTACCTCTAATTTTACCTCAAATGTTTCTCCAACCCTGGTGAAAGGAGATAAAGCAGAGAGAGACCAATGAAGGAAATGGGTGCAAAACACAGAGTATTAGCATCGGAGACTGCTGCGGTCAGACCAAAGTGAATCGAGGACAGGTTATCAAACACAAAGGGACAATTAGTCTGAGGGGAAGTTGCAATGACAACCACAAAAACTTAAAAGTCGTAATGTAATTCATTATAATAAGTTGAATCCATTCACACACACACACAAACCATCTGTCAGTCCTGAGACCACATTTCCTAAAAAATTCTTTTGCATATTTTCTACTTGAATAGAAAATGTCACGTCCGACCACTGTTGGTGTTGAATTAGTTTAGGTGCTTAAAACAGGCCTCTGTTCCAGAGTCTAGTCTACCTACTGAGATGACACTTCGTCCCCCAGACAAAAACCAAGACCAGTCCGCTGCGCTTGCGAATCTAAAGATGTGTCTGGGCCTTTGAATGAGACGTCACATGAAAAGAAAAACAGGAAAAGAGAATTAAGTGCAATGAACAATAAACTTAGAGAGTATTTTTGTACCAGTCATCACATTTAGAAAAACCTGCAGAAGATACAGAGAAGTGAATACTCTGGTGAGCTGCTGTGTTCAGTGTGAAGGAGAAACGCTAAAAAAAAAATTTGGGAACCCACCTGTCTGTGAGTAGCAGCATGTAGCTCACACGTGTGATTTTGAACGTGCGTGCTGTGAACTGTGGAACCTGTGATGAGGATGGAGACGGAGGAGCTTGTACAAAGTTGAATGGAGGGAATGTCTTTGTTTGCTGAATGTCGCTTTAAGTATTTTTGTTTTGGGTTTTTGTTTCTTCCCAAAAAGCTGCTATTTTAACCCCTTCACTTCCATTGAGCAGTTTGTCTGGTGCTGAGGCTTCTTCATTCCACCCAGGGCTGTGTGGCTGCTTCATAGAGCTTTGAATTAAGTTTGAGAATAGACTTTAAAACCAATTAACTGTAAAGTAAACACTCACTGGGAGTGAGGCTACAGCTCACCCAGGTAAACAACTGTACCTAAAAAACCAACGGACTCTTCGTGTCTACCGTAAAGCCCTATCTCTAGAATGTTTTCTTTCCATTCCCTTCCATTTTCCCAGCTGGTCCTAGTTAAAAATGAGAGTCAAGTAATCGAGTTTTGAGTCTTGGTGAGTCCTCGTGTCACGTTCCCCACACCGGTAGAGTTGCGCAAAGTTCTATTCGTCATCTTTACATTGACTTTGTATGTGCGTTAGTCACACATAAAATGTGTGTTTCTTTTGCTTCTTGTTTTACTTTTTCTTTGCGAGTATAGGTTGTTGCCACTACTTGAGCTGCACTATTTTCACTTAAGGAACCCGAATTGAAACACTTAAAGTGGAACAGCCAATAGGGACGCCGGTTTCATTTCCAGACCAAACAGATTCATAGCTGTACAACACAAACTACTCAACTTTATAACAAGCAGCCACATTTGTAAAGACAACAAATATTTACAATATAAATATAGAAATATTCTGACCAAAATAAATAATAAAAAATAATTGTTTGTATTTTAAAAAAAAATACAAATAAACCTGTCCGCAGTTTATCTTAAATGACTTAGTAAAAATACTTCCAGTCTCTAAATTGAACTTTCCTGACCTGCTGTATTTTATGACGCACTAATATTGATCTTTACTTTAAACATGCTTTGTTTTATATGCTTTAAAATCTTGTTAAAAACAATCAGTATTTAATCTCAATACAATCTCCCACAACCCACTGTGGGTGCTGACCCAGTAGCAGGACATTACTGCCAGAGATACAGTCAAAGACTTGATATTTATTATGCTGAAATTTGAATTGTTAATCATAAAATGCTAAATTGTTAACTTTTAAATATTCTTTTTACAATAAGCATTATAATGGAAAATTATTGTTTTGTGTCAAATGGAATAAGGTTATTAGATTCGACAAATTTAGAGGAACCAATAGAAAGTTTCTACTTTTGTCTCTCATCCTTTGTCTCAAATATAAAATCAGTGCAGCGTTTCAGTATGTGAAAAGGGAGAAGGTTCCAAGTTCTTAGACCAGGACTCCTGACTGTGTCTTTCTCCTTATCTGAGCTCCAAAAAAAAAAAAAAAAACTCCGTCACCTGACTTCCATTCCCTGGTTCTGTCATTTTTTCTTTCCGACAAATTTCCCGCTAATCGTGCAACATCTACACACACCAACACTTGTCTTCACCCCATGGTGCATATACACAGAACTAGTGAAGCCAATGCACAGTCTGCTCCTCCTGGTCAGAAAAAGGTGATTGAATCCAGAAAGGACAGTGATGTGATCACAACCGCAGCCCCTAGCCCCGCCCCCTCCGACCCCTACATCTTAATAAATGTGCCTTTTGATTTGAGTAATCAATACCTTATGATTTCTACGTAACTCTGTATTAAGTACTATTTTCTTTCTTTTTTTTTCTCGGTTTTGATTTCTGCCAACGTGCATATTTTGTAATGTATGTATTTATTAGTTTGAAAAGTAATTGATGAGATATTAACTGTTTATTTATTTATTGAGATATTTATTCTGATTCTTTATTTTTTTGAGACAAGTTTTTATCTTCCGTGCTGTCTTACTTCTGACTTTGTGCCAATGTGCTGCTTTGAGGTGTTACATATCGTGGGTTTGTATCATTATTAAACCCTCACTCTATATTTTAAATTGGTGTCGTCTTCCGTCACTTATTTTCAACTCAAAAGGCATTTATTTGTAGGATATTTGAGGATACAGGAAAGATATCTTCTACCTCCTTCTTCCTATTTATTTCTATCCTTTATTTTCTTTAATAGATTTTGTTGTCTTATGTTTTCTATTTCTTCCTGTTCATCTTCCCCCAGTCTCAGTTTTTTCTACTACTTTTGCAAGGTCAGGTATTTATCACTATAAAGATTTGTTTTAACACTAAAGATTCAGAAATATATTTTATTCAAAGACAGCAGTTCTATTTGTTGCAACATCAACAGAAACTACCATCTGAGACAAGTATTTTCAGTTACTGCTTTTGTACAAAACAACATTCAATTAAAAATCTGAATCTGCAGAAGAACAAAAAAAAGAGCTACTTAACAGAATACATGTGCTGCCGTTTATGTTTGAGGATCTCAGTGGGGGTGAGCGTAAGGTCTTCATTACAAACATCACAGTGGAAAACTCTGGTGAGACTGGACACTGAGGATGAGGTGGCTTTTTCCCGCCCAGCTTCTAAAAAAAACAACAAAACATAAACAGTTAGTGAAATAAACTTAAAGAAATACCTTATAAAAATAATATTACAAAAAAAAATATGCTGACCTTCCTCCTCCAGCTGCTGCTGTTCCCCTGCCGGCCTGCAGGAGGCCTCGTGCGTCATGCGTTCCAGTGGAGTCAGAGGCATGTAGAGGTCACAGTTAGGACAACTCCAGAATGTGCGTAGACACTCGCTGTAGAGATCCCTGGAATCCTGCACATGACAAACAAGGATGGATGAAAGACAGTAATATGTTAACTTTTCATTCAACTCACACTCAGACTGTTGTGAAAGATTAAATAGAATAGTAATGGAAGATTTTTTCACTTATTTGTTACTGTTTCAAATGTTTGGATATTAATTTTAGTTTTCTCTGAGAGACAAGTTGATTTTTGAAGATTTAATTTACAGACATTCATGTCTGTTGTGTTCGTTTCACGCCGACCCACAGTTCTCTTTGTGATCACTCACAGCTAAGCAGTTGTAGGTGAAGAAGCTGGTGACGATGAGACCTCCTTTAATGTGGTGTGGCTTGAGTTTGGCTCCTGGAAACAGAGGGTTCACATCTGGAATTTTGCTACGAGACAGGTCAGATGAAGGGCCGATGTAGAGGTTCTGGATCTGCAGAGCTGTCAGTCGCTGCAGACAGTAAATGACCTGGAGAGGAAGACGGCGCATGAACAGAGAGAGCGGGGAGTATGATGTCACAGGACACCAGATCGGTGTGGCGTAGTACCTCGGTGTAGAGCAGGAACCGGACCAAGCCGTCGATCAGCTTCTCCAAGGCTTTGCGAGACACTCCTGGAGCTGCTGATTCTGCCTGTGCGCTCTGTCCCAGCTGGACCTGCAGGACACGCTCCCACTCCGTCCTGAGGGTTAAAGCTGTGGACAGCACCTTCAGAGCCTCCTCTGGCTCCTTCAACTCCACCTCCAGCCAGCCGTCCACTACCAGACGTGTGCAGTCCGCATTGCTGTCCACAGAGTTGGCAACAAGCAGCAGAGTCTGGAGAGCAAAGGGTGAATAAGTCAGAGTTGTGGGTTGTTGTGTGACTGGGTGATTAACACATTCAAACTCTGAATTCAGGATGAACACAGAGATGTCCAATAACCTGTCACTAACCTGCAGGGCTGGAATCCGCACACAGTTGGACAAATATGGCTTGTTGGTCTCCAGCAGAGTGACAAAGGCTAGCAGCTGATGTTTGGTGCTTTCCTTGTGATCAGGACCTGCAGGAAACAAAAAATGGCTCAAAAATAAGGTCAGGGATATTAGTGTGGAACTGCAGACCCGACATTGATCCACTACATATGAACATGAAACAGAAAAAGGTTTGATGTTGTCTGGTAAAACCTTAAATTTAACACCATGTCATGAAAGAGTCAAATATTTTGTTATCACTGATTATGGGACAGTGGCCAGTCATCTGGGTGTGTCAAAAGTTAAAAAGGAAAAGGAGAGGTTGCACCAATGTGCTTTTCATGTGCTTTTTTCATCTTTAAAACAGAGTTAAAACACGACATTGGTGAGGTTTACCCGTTTCTCTAGCATCATGCTCAGGAACATGGAGGACCTCTGGGTCACTGGCAAACACACTGGTCGGGTGAATCACCACTCCCTGCTTATTTTTCGTGTGAAACACCTGCAGAAATAAAAATTGTTATTTTTTACTACAAGACTAAATAAAGTATAGATGGAGGTTTCCTGACTTTAGAGTAGGTGGAAACAGCCACATGCCCTTTGCACGGGACATAAGATAAACATTCATTCATTCCTTGTGTTCTCCAGCACAGGCTCTTTAAGAGCAACACATCTCTCCCAGTAACGCCCTGTAATTGGTTAATATCTCAGAGGAGGTGCATCAGTGTAGGCTCCTTTATGGTGATGTACAGCTGTCCTTTCTTTAAGGTCTAAAACCAAACAATATTATTCTGCATGTGGACTGACCTGGTCTGAGTCTTTGCGGGTGGTGTTGTGTTCATCAGGGATCGCCAGCTGAGGGTAAAGGCCTCGACACAACAGAAGCTTGAGCAGAGCCTGATGACGGGAGGACATGTCCTGACTGACAGTGACGGCCTCCTGCAGCTCTGACATGTTGTGACGCAACTTGAACTTAACTTCCTGTTTGAGAACAAGCAAATAATTAACATTGTTCATTGCTTTGAAGTATAAACATAGTAGACACAATCATGCCCATTATGATGTAACATGTGTCCCCACATGGGGTCACCTTTAATAGTTGATTAAAAAAAATCATCTGACAATCGTGTCCTGTGGGTTCACCTGAATGTCTACATCCTGGCCTGACCCTTCCTTGTCCTTTTTCCTTCTTCGTGTGTCCTCAGTGTCTGATCCTGAGGACATATCTCCATCCTGTCCCTCCTCCAACTTCAGGACTTTACGCTTACTCTTCTCCTGATGCTCATGGTCTCTCTTCAGCTGATGCAGCTTCCTCCTCTCTGTGAGCCTCTCCCTGCGCTGCCCACGATCTCCATCAGGGGCAGCGTTGCGCTCTCCTTCCAGTAGGCTGTGGCTTCTGAGCAGGTCCTGTTAATCACACAGGAAGATGATGAGAATAACTCCCAAACTAGTCAAACTAACTCAAACTGCCATCATCTGTTGGATCAGTACCCGGAACTGTCTGCGGAGGTTGACCATCTCATAAAGTCTCTGTTCCTCTAAGCCCCGCCTCCTGCACCACTTCCTTGAGCCTCCACCTCTTTCTCCCTTCACCTGTTGAATCCATAAATTTACCAGCTTTATTGTCACGATCTTCCCTCAAAACATACACCACACATTATTCCACTGACCTCCACCCAGGCATTAAAAGTGTTGAGCAGCGTGAAGGGGTCTCCCTGGTTGCTGTGCAGGGGCTGGCAGGCTGTGGAGCAGTCAGGATTTTGCTGTGAGCTGCGCAGAAACGGTGACTGAACGCTGAGAGCCGCCGCTACGGTCAACACTGGCTCCACCAAATTAAACACGGAGCCTAGAACCAGCATCTTTCCTGCGGGAACGCAAATACAAACAACAAAAGTTGGGCAACGTCAACAGATTAGACAATTCTTCAGATTTAGATCTGAAAATGACAGGAGACCATCAGTCAGACAGGAGGTTGGTTTGATTGATAAGACTTATTCATCTGAGAGAAAGACATATAAAAGGAAACATAATGATATTTTAAATCTCGTGCATGTAGCCCAGAATCTCAAACTAAAAAAAATGTATACAAAAAAAGCCACTCATGATGGGTTTTTTATGGGGTGGGGTTCAATCTCTTCTTATGCGGAGTCAAAAAAGTGCAGGTAAGTGCAAATTTTAGTGCAGATAATTTTACCAATTACAACATCCACTGGAAGTTGTGACAGTAAATTGCCAATAGATGTCAGGTCTCCATTGTTGTCGAGCGCCCCCTGCTCTTTAAGGTAAGTTACTGCGGTCTGAATACTGGAAGCAGGAGGTGGATCAATAAAGACGAAGGAAAGAGGATCTCCGAGTCCCATGCTCTTCATCTATAGGAAGAAAACAAAGGTAAAATTATCCAGAAGTTATGACTGGAGGTGGACAGATCTGAGTGAATGTCTTTCCAAAGGACCTGGAGGATGAGGGAGTCCAGAGCCACTCTGTGGATTTCAGGAACGGGGTAGGGTGCAAAGGCATCATAGTCAGACTCTGCATATAAGCGGTAACAAATTCCTGGACCTGTGCGTCCGGCTCGACCTTTTCTCTGCTCAGAACTGGCTCTGCTGATCCAGAACTCCTGCAGACGCTGCATCTTAGCCTTGGGATCAAAACTCATTTCCTTGACTTTGCCTGAAGAAGAGCAAATTTAACAACATTTACTTACATTCTAGTTGTTTTAGGTCAATTCAGATTAGATTCAAATTAGTGCCGGCCTTGATTCTACTCCGATTTCCATACCTGAGTCTACAACAAAACGTACTCCGTCGATAGTAACAGAGGTTTCAGCGATATTGGTGGCGATGATACATTTCCTCACTCCAGGAGGTGAGATGTCAAACACCTGAGTATGACAACACACCAAAAGAGAATGAAGAACTGCTTTAATACAACTAGACATGTTGAAAAACGCAAATGTCATATATTCACTCTACTACAAACAAATGTGTAAGTGCCTTATCCTGCTGGGCCAGAGAGAGCGTGCTGTGAAGCGGTAACACTATCCAACGACGAGTGTGCGTGGCATAAACCTGACACGCTTCCTGTATGGTGGATATTTCTGCCACACCACTGAGAAAAAGAAGCAGGTCGCCTCGTTCCTCAGGTGGGTAACGGTGGTCGATTCCCTGCAGGATGCGAAGGTAAGGTCTGGGATCCAGTTTCTCTGAACGTGAGGGCTGTTCCTCAGGTGGAATGGGCTGATAAATCACCTACACACAGGTGTAATGACAATATTAATGATAGTGCTGTTATGTATAAACACACAAATATTTTACATTTTCTATTGAATATAAATGTATTAACATAAGAAATTTGTAAAAATGTGATTCAAATTGTACTGGTTCGACTTGTACAATCAAACCAGTACAATATAAGTACAAATTAAATTACTGGGGGGTTTTTCATGAAAAAAATCATTTACATTTTTAAACATGTTTACTTCTCATGGATCATTTATGTGTCCAAAAGTTAAATTAAAGGGAAATGTAATAGGTTTTAGACTTTTGGCATTACATGCTCTAACCATAACCTATTAAATAAATGTATTCACACCTGTAACTGTTTATAGTGTAGCTTAGATTGATCCCTTACTTCTAATCTCCACTTCCTCCTCACCTGTATAGGAAACAGTCTGCCTGGCACCTGCAGCACTGGTGCACCTCCAAAATAGTTAGAGAAAAGTTTGATGTTGATTGTGGCAGACATGAGAACGAGACATAGGTCTGGACGTTCAGACACCAAAGTGCGTAGAACCCCAAGAAGGAAGTCGCAGTGAAGGTGTCTCTCATGGACCTCGTCCACTATCACCACTTGGTACTGGGCCAGTGTCCTGTCATGCTGGATCTGACGCAGCAGCAGCCCCTCTGTCAGGAACAGCAGTTTGGTGGCTGTGGTCCGGCTGCCTTCAAAGCGGATTTGGTATCCTACCTGAAAGTCACAACAATATTTAGTAGATGTATATAGATTTGGTTGTCAATTACTCAACTGTTAGATAACTAAAACATAATTAGAATGCCATTTCTAAAAGTCAACTGACCATTTTATAAAATTGTAATATGGTCTGGATTTTTTCTTTACATATATAATCACATTTCACGTTAAGGTTTTGCTTTATATTTTTGTCTAATAAGACTATTGACTGACCTTTGAGCCATACTGATTGAGACTCTCAAAGCTGACTCTCTTTGCTAGGGAGATGCATGCAATTCTTCGAGGCTCGGTGCAGGCGATGTAGCTGAAGCCTGCAGAGAGAAGATACTGAGGAACTTGGGTTGATTTCCCACAGCCTGTGTCCCCCGCCACCACAACCACTCGGTGTCTTCGCACGAGCTCCACTATCTTGTCCCGGTACTGGTAGATTGGAAGATTTTTTTGTTCGCGACGGAGTTTTGCCAGTTTGCTAAAGCTCTGCTTTTGCCAGAAGTCCAGAAAATGCAGCAGAGTCAGTCGGCAGTCTGCGATCTCCTGATCACCAGGCCCAGATGATTTATCTCTGCTCCGGTGCCCTGTTTTCCCAAGGCGCTCCTCGATGTCCCTGGTGCAAACCGACAAGTTGATGCGGTAGCGAGCATCGTACTCCACAGGAAGACCAATATCCATTTTGGACGATTTTCCCTTGTCTTTTCTTTTAGCATCCTCGGCATTTCGACTACCTCCTTCTGAGGAACACATGTCCTTCTTTGTTTTAAACCTCTGGAATCGGTCGAAGAAAGTCCAGAACTCCCTATGCTCCGCGCTGCCGGCCTGGATGTAGTCATGGTGGCGGAAGAAAATGTCGTCTAGCTGAGTTCGGCAGTGTGGACTACTCCAGTCCCAGCTGCGGCGGTCTCTCTTTCTGTCTGACTCCATACGTACCAGGGTTTTCTCATTCCACCTCTCCCGTTGAAAGCTAATGAGTTACAACATGTCTCTACGATTCGTCTACAAACCAGCGACTTAATGAACCTCGCTGCTGTATTTAACGTCAATAAAAAACTTTCTTTGTTCCGTTGTCCAAAGTCGTCTAAAATGTCAGTAATTGTAAAAGGAAAAAAAACAGAATAAATATACAACAGCACAGTGATAAAAGAAACAAACAAGCAAAACTGCAGCACCACCACCACCACCACTAAAGGAAATGGAGGGACAATAATACTGTAGGACTATTTCCGTTCCGTCCTCTAAAACATTCCGGTCAGTGTTAGTTCAGGTCATTTTTACAATCTGCACCCGGGACACAACACTCGCAAAATGTGTATGTATGTGTGACATCGACAAGTCTTAATACAAAACAAGATAAAATAAAATAATAATAAAATAAAATTTTAAAAAAGCAAAAAAATGTGAAACCATAGTTATACTAACTAGATGCCACGGTGTGCCCACTAGTGGGACAATGATGTATCGCAGTCGAGCCTGAAACAAAATCAAATAAGTCATTGCTAAAAAAACAAACAAAAAACTGCATTTTCAGTGTTAGGGTACATTTTACTGGAAAAAAACATTACATTACAAAAACATGTATCTCTACAAAAATACCCCTTTTGCTTTTATTGCTTTTCACAGAGTGAAAGGTCTGCATTTTTGGAAGCTCTAAATTAAATATTTTGTATAGTCATTTGAAAATATATAGCAGAAACGTAAAAAATAAAAATCAAGCATAAAAGATACATATTTCTGTATTATATACAGACTGATAAGCTACAGACAATAAGTAGAAAACTAAATTAGTATTATAACAAGGTTTCAGTTTGTGTAAAACTTAAAAGCTTGTAAAACAGTCCACAACCAAATTGACATTAACTGATACATCACAGGAGCCATTGAAAAACACAAAGTAGTATTTAAACCAACCTTATCATGAAGTTGGAATAATAAAAAAGAGAGACTTCAAATGTAAGAAATATTTTATTTAAAAACATTTGATGTACACATTTACACAAATTAAAACAGACTGTCTAGTCTTGTATTGATGAAAGATTAGAATCACATTACAAACAAAACATTTAATTGACAAAACATTATGTCACTGTTTTATGCTCATAAAATCCTGAAGATTTTAAAGAAGTCTTTCAAAACATATTGAAGGGGCAGCTGAGAGCAGGGGTTTCTGTTGGTCTAAAAATTCTGTATAATGCATAATATACCAAGCCATAGGAGGTACGGTAGAAGGATCTTGCTACCATTTTGTTTTTAATTCACAAAATATAGCACAATGGCAGCAATAAACATGGTTATTTGGCCTTTTATAAAAAAAACAGAGTACTGTATGAAGAGGCATGTTTTAAATGTGTGTAAGTGTAACAATCTTGATTCAAATCTACTGTGCAGCACCTCACACTGCCTCCATTAAAAGAAACTACAAACAAAAGACATACAAAACAATACATGGCAAAAGAACACACTTATTTACACTAAAAACATATCACCAACATGCCCTTACACCTGCAGAGGAGTTAAAATGCGTGGCAATTTCTCTTCAAGCAACAATCTGCAGTAGGTTCCTCCTCATCACCAAACGTTCATATTTGTCCATATTTGACCTGATTTGAATAATTCACATTTTTCTAAACTCCAGTCTTTTCTTTAATCCAGCCAATGAACTTGGTGACAGTTGTGTAGATGCCCGTTTTATCTCTGCGGGCGCAGCCTTCCCCCCAACTTACCACACCTGCTAGGAACATTCTACTGCCTGCTGGACTGGATAAAGGTCCCCCAGAGTCACCCTAACACACACAGACACAGAAATACACATTCATGGGTATTATTTAACTGTCAGATTTTTATATTTCTGTAGTCAACATTTTACGTTTTAGAAATTTTATGTAGATAATGAAATCATGTCCAAACAAATGAAAAAAAAGACATAAATTGTGTGGATAACTTCAGCAAGGTGAAGACTGATTACCTGACAGGCATCGACTCCTCCAGTCAGAACTCCAGCACACAACATCCGAGAGGTTATCTGACCCCCCATTAATTTATTACACACATCTTTGTTTATGATTCGGACCTGAGCCTTTTGAAGGATGGATGCACCGTAGCCTAAAACACAAACAAAAACATATCACAAAATTTTGCTTTAAGTTTAAATGACACACTTTTCACAATATATAATATATATTATTATATATAATATATATAAAATAAAAAAATAATGCAGATTACTCAGAAAGTTTGTCAGCTCTGAAACTCTGTGGTAAAATCTGATTTGAATTGAACAATTAAAACACAACCACTCTACTAAGTTAATTTTAACAATAGGAATCTAGAGCATAGGAATATATTAAGTAGTTGAATTATACTTAATATAAGTAGTTATATATACTATATGTCTCTGTTATAATGCAATTTCATGCAGAGCAACGCAGAAAAGAGTTTGAGTTTGAAAATAATTAGTTGATGAGACATTAGATAAGTTATTTTTATGGACTCCAGGGGGCGCACTCGCACATCGGTTAAAACTACAGAAACTATAATGGGTGACTTTCTGTACCAGAGTTGTTCTGATACAGTCTTTACCCGATTGGGGGGGGGGGATCGGATGACTTGAATTCAGACTCACCTCCTTCTCGAGTGGCTCCCCATCCACTGATCCACACTGTACTGCCTGTCATGAATTCGTGTTGCGCAGATGGGAGGCAGATGGGCCTGATGTAGTCAGAGTAAGTGAGTGGACTGTCCAGCTCCATCAGGGCGATGTCATTGTCGAAGGTGTATGCGTTGTAGTTGGGGTGGGGAATAACCTGCTTCAGGTTTTTCTTTACCACGTGACTGCCAATCTTCCGCTGCTCATGAAGACCGAAGTAAGCTTCCCAAGTACTGGGCTGAGAGAACCTGAAGACCAGGACAAACCAAGACCACAATGTGTTCATTCAAGATCCTCCCTCTATCATTAAAGGCCATTTGATAAATGTGAGCCATTTCAAATGACAATGCCTTTCTGTACAGCAGTGATGTACAAACCTTTTCTTCAAAACAGTAAACTGCAAAAACATTACAGGCAGTTTTTTTTACTAACTTTTCTTTTTCTTCTTCTTTTATTTGCTTATATTTTTATTTTATTTGCATATCCAATCTAATTTGCATTTTTTCATGTAGCTTCACGTAGCAATTCTGGGTATATGATTTGTGAACTTTAGGAATTATATAAATCTCTGGATTAGTGACAAGTTCAAGGAAAATTAGATTTAACAATTTCTGTCAAAATCATTTATTTATTTAATTTTCTTTTAATCTAATTCTTTTGCTTTCCCTTTCAAAGAGCATGGTATGTGAACCTATAACATGTAGTTACTTGTTGTTTACTTTTGTCCAAAACGTTTTCTGTCGTTGGACAAAAGATAAAATATTAAAATAACGTCCTACCTTATCTTGCCATCATCTTGCACACAGTGAGCAGCGGTGACCAGCCATCGTTGGTTGATGATGGACGCTCCACACACGTGACCGTAACTTTTCACATGGAGGCTGACCTGCCATGGAAACTCCCCTTCTTCAGCATCCTGACCGCCAACTATACGTGACGTCTTAAACATGCGTCCTCCGCAGTCTTTAACAAAAAACACAACAAGAACAAAAACACGATCATTCATTTATCCAGTATTATTCTGACACAATGAACAGAACAAAAACACGATCATTCATTCATCCAGTATTATTCTGACACAATGAACAGACTCCAGGTGAGATTCCAGTTTGCGACATACCACAGTTTTCCTCGTCAGATCCATCTTCACAGTCCCGTGTGTCATCACACTCTGGGTTTACTTTGCTGATGCACTGGTTGTTTTTACATTTGTATGTTAGATCAGTGCAGGTTGTTCCACCACCTCAAGAAACAGAGAAAACAAAACCTAGTCCATTATACTTCCATAAGGTTACTTTGTCTGCATATTTTTTGAACGGTAAATGGTAAATAACTGCAACAACATCTATGTGTTTCTATTTGTTATTTGCCTTTATTTGTGACAAATCTAAATAATGAATTATTGAAATGAAAAAAAAGAATAAAATGCAGTGGCACAAAAAATTTGGCTTTGGCTAGAATTAATATATTGGCCAGACAACAGTGAAGATGTCCCTCACCTCTTCCACAGTCGAGTTCATCTGACCCATCACCACAGTCGTCCCTGCTGTCACAGCGAGACTTCTCAGAAACACATTTTTTATTCTTGCAAGTGAATTGTCCAGATTTGCATCCACCTTCAAAAGAGAAGAAACAATTTTGAGAAAATGAACTCGAAACGTGAAACAAATGCTCTCTCTGTCAAATCAAAGTTTTGGATCTTACCACAGTTGAGCTCATCTGTGCCGTCACCACAGTCGTCTATGCTGTCGCACTGCCAAAACTTTGGCTTACACAGGCCATTTTTGCAGTGGATGCTCTCCGAACTGCATGCTGAAGGGAAACAAAATAATTATATGCATTAATTATTAAAAGTAAAAAAGAAAATAAAAAACAACATTTATAACTGGCATTTGCAAACATTTGACTTACTGCATTTCAACTCGTCACTCATGTCTCCACAGTCGTTCCAGCCGTCACACCTGAGTTCTGATTTGATGCAGCGCAGGTTGTTGCACTGGAACTGTTTAGGACAAGCTGGAAACGACAAAGTTCAATAATCGATTAATCCTGATTAATTCACAGCTACCCTGTGATTAACAGGATTTTAATTTTAGTTGTTCACCAGCACTTTGGAATAATAATAATAACTATTGTATATTATTAAATTTTGAGGAAGCACAAGAGTCACTCACGGTCTTTTACATCAATCGCCTCAAAAGTTGCTTGAAATCCTAGGTCCACATAGGAGGAATCGGAGACAAATACAACGTTCATTGTATTGGTCTTACTGGTTTCTGTTAGTACTCCATCTGGATGTTCACCACACAGCCTGAAGAGTTAGACACAGAGATGTGAAATGTCTCCTCTGGACTGAAAACCCTATGGATTAGTTACAAGTAATGACAGAGACATACTTCTTTCCATTGACTGCCACGTAGTCTTTTAGACACTCTTTGTTGTTTTCCTGTCCAGGTTCAGACAGGAGGAACCTTTTGAAAGTCACCTTCACTGATTTGCCAGCAGGAACCTGAGTGATTGTGACAAAACACAAGTTAACAAAATAGACGAAAGAGTGACTTGTAAATGCAATGGCTGAGTCACATAGGCATGGATGTCTTACCTCGATCGACCATTGACACGAAGTACGAGGGGGGTAGTAATTTGGAAAGTTAGGAGTAGTGAAAGTACCCTTCTCTCCTTTGAGCTGACCACCACATGTGGTCTCTGTTTAGAGAGAAAAAACCATGGACAGAAAACTCATCAGCACTGAAATATTTAAGGTAAATCCTAAAGCTCAGCTGCATGGACAGACTCGAGTTCCTACCCTTACTTGAGCGATAGATTTGTGACACTGTGGCCCTAAATCCTGGATAGTTCTTGTTTGCATTCGTGGCCATGGTCACCAGCATGACGTTACCCGAGGACAGAAATGCCAGTGGTTCGCTGGGTGAGTAATATCCACACATTCTGTTGAGTAAAAAAAAAAAAAGATGCATGACCATGAATTTACATCCTGGATGACCTTTTTTAATTGGAAAATACCAGACCTACTTTAATTTGGTATAAAAGTTGTACACAGTTTATTACTTTACATACACTGTATGTGTGTATTTAGTAGAGGATATAATGTAGCATGAATCCACCTAAATATTAAATAAAGAGGCTGTAGTGGTACAGTGGCAGGACCCCCGTCTGCCACCAGGAGGCTCCAGGTTTATTTCTTTTCCCGCAAAAAATAAATACATTTTAAAAAGATCTGTGTAGTTTTGACTTAAAGAGAACAAGAATTATGTGATCATGTTATGATGTACTGTTTGTACTGTATTTTCCTTCTAAAACTAACTTGGGATGTCAAACTCAGTTTCACAGTGGGCCAAAATTAAAAAAAAAATTGAAATAAAACACATCAGTGGTATTTGTTTTTTATATGTTTCTCTATATCTCTATTGCCTTTAGAGTTCTTTTTAATGTACATCTTTTTTTTCAGGCTAACAAAAGAACAACCAAAAATGTATGTGCTATAATATTGTGCATACATCGCTAATACTACAATTCCCGCCAGTATAGATCTCGCGGGCCAAATTTAATTACACCAGGGGCCAGATTTGGCTCGTGGGCCTGAGTTTGACACCTGTGCTCTAATGTGACAGCATTCACATAGAGCTGCTTAGTAAAATGAATGGATGACTGTCAGCAGAGGAGACCAGGGGACAAACTCACTCTTCCATGACACGACTCTCAATGGCAGCCAGGGAGTCGTAGATTTTGACAAAATCATTCTTGCAGTTCTCCTCCAGGTTCATGGTATCAAACTCCAGCTTGATGTGGTAGTTTGGGTCGGCTCTCAGCTGCCACTGGATGTACGTGTTGGGGGGGTAAGGACTGTTGGGGAAGCCAGGGGACTGGATGGTCCCTATGTAATTGGATCTCAAATGTTCAGAAAACCTGAGATACTCTGAGACAACAAGAAACAAAAAAAAACAAAAAAACAATGATGTTCAAACTTCGGCATGTTAACAAATAACAATAATAACATAAATATGTATATATATCTGAGTTATCTCACAATAACATTGATGTCCAGTTACAAAATTAGAAAATGTAAGTATATCACAAAGACACTTGCTTGTCTTGACATCAAGTTATTATTGTTGCTATTACTTAGTTACATATAAAAATACCACTAGTCATTAATTTACTAAGACAACCTTAAACTATAAAAGCAAAAATTAAAAAAACTCTGAGCACTTACTGTTGAAAGGTGTTGAGAACAGTCGAGCATCAAGAGCTGTTAGAAGGACGAAAATGTAATGAATATAACATTACAACTAAAAATATGGCCAAAGAAATGGAGTGTGTTTGTTATCCTACCTGAAGACACCACCTCGTCCAGGACCAGAGAGTTACCAGCTCTGCTGATGGAACGTTGCTCCTTGTCCACCAGCTTGTCCATTGTAGACATGGCCTTGTCCACAGCTGCCTCTTGGCCTGCTGGGATGTTGAACTCAGAGGTATAGTACGTCATGACGCTCCCTTCACTAGAAATATGGATATATGCAAAAGGTCAGTAATATATTACTGCTGTGTAAGTATCAACAAAGTGAATGTTTAGCTGTTAACTTATGTCTCATACATAACCACGGCTTTATGTTAAAGTGGCCACGGGCACATATCAAAATTAAATACCATGCCACAAATCAACTACAACATCCTAACTTTAAATTCACATGAAATTATACTGTCTGGCTGACACCAGATTTTGAAAGGGAAGTGTTTAACCCACAGAAGACTGAGGTACTGTTACAAAACTGTTACAAACAAGAAGTGTTCAAAATATGACTTTTGCACCATGCCTTACCTAAAAGCCAGAACTGTAGAACCAACGTAGCATTTAGCCAACTGTGGACTCTTGGAATACAGGGTTTTAAGCTGAAGGAGAAAGGGAATGTAACAGCAACATAGCATTAAAGGAAAATTACAGTTTACAAATCGAGCTAAAAGTTTAGGAGCAAAGTGAAGAACTGAGTAGAGCTCTTACATGTGTGACAACTTGCTTCGCCAGGGCCTTGAACTCTGAGCTGTTGGGATTTTCATAGGCATCTTCAAACACCTGGTTGGTGATCCGCATAGAGCCGCTGTATATCCTCTTGATTCGCACGTTTTTACGGACTGCAGGAGACACAGAGACAAGCATCTCTGAAACAGCTGTCTAACCTCTTTTAAGAAAGTGTTGTAGTGTAAGTGTATTCTTTTTTTATATATTACGTTTACAGTGAGCTTAAAAAGAGTGGACTGTTACCTAACATATAGATGCAAAACAATATTTTTTTTTAAAAAAAAGGAAATAAAATGCCAAAAGAATAAACTGACAGATAACAAAAAAGTATTAAAAATATATATGATTTACACTTAGCATAAATTACGATGAGTGGTGAAAAAACACAATTATATAAGACAAAGCATCTATTTAATTACTCAACCACAGTATAATATATATAGCTTAGGATTTTAAGTCAAAAAAGTTTGGGAACCAGTGGCTTGGAGAGAGGCAGGAGTTACTTACAGTGGAAGTGCCAGACCAGTAGTCCAGTCATTAGTGCAATGACAGCAGCAAAGACAACCACACCAATCACAGCTCCAAGTTTTCCTGGACCTTTTTTCTTCTCAAGTTTTTTGTTATCTGAGGCAGGCAGGAACTGGACGGAGGTGTCCCAGTCTTTGTCCTGAGGAGAGACCTATATAAGTACCATATCGCACATCAAGAGGTAAGGCAACTTAGAAGCAATTTAGATGTGTGTGCATCGGCAGAATGAGCAACGCTGGACAACTGTTTTACATTGCATTAACAACAGCTTCCTAACTAATCTCAGAAGTTTATTCTTAATCTGCACCTGAATAACAAAACCATGCCCAGTAATGTGACTACAGAATCAATTATTTCATGAAATCCTGACTGTTATGTGAATGAAAAAGTAAACTGTTTTTCTGGAGCAAAAGAACCAATATGTCTGCCTTAGTTTGAAACAGAAGAAGTGCTAAATATCATATATATCATATTATTTTTAGTTATTTTAGTACATACTAAAATTATTTCATTATTGAATCACAACATCAATTCTTGTGAAGCAAAAGCATGTGGCCCATGAGTACATGCAGTGACATGTGGTGACTCTACAGGGACACAAAGTAAAATGCAGGCCTAGAAAAACACAGGTTGAGCCTTTAAGCTACATTTTCAAACTAAATGAATCCGATTTTGAAAGTGATTTTTCAACCTGGTTCATTGTTTTGTATAAAATGTTGAAAGATTCTTGGCCTTGTATTTAGAGATATATGGAGGTAAGGGTGAGTTAAAATGACATTTATACTGAAATTCAGCTGCATTACATACATTTTATGTCTGTAATTTAATTTTTGTCTGTAATAACCGTTATGTATGTCTGCATTATCGCCTACATTTCATTGAAAGGATATTAAAAGACGTGCTGCATTTTCATGGGTATACTACCTTACCACAGACGTGGTACATTTTTGCAAATTCAAGATGAGAGTCCTGCTTTTTTTTTTTAAACTGAGCAGATAATCAACGGTTGATAAGTGACAGCTGCAGACAGCAAGTAGTTACTTGCATATTGTTGGAATGTCGGAGAATGTGGTCAGTGACACAAGTAGCTCCTAAGTCAGAAAAGCAACATGAAAAATCAGAAACAATTCCTGGATCACTGGTTGCTTGAGATTGCATGAGAATAGAAGTGAATGGATGTGGGCAAGAAGCACAAATAGACAGTTTCAGTGTCAATTCTAAGACAGAGATCGGTTCTTTCCTTAAAGGAGCGAAACAGAGAAGCAGGAAACAGAGGGGGAGGGAGTACAAAGGTTTCATCATGTAAAATCCTGTCAAACCTGCTGTGAGCACACCAGTCACTAAGGGTAGAGTAGAAACACAACAAGTTTCAGAGCTCTACAGCACAGCACTTTGAAGAAAACACTTGGCAGTGACAAAGAATTGTTCTTTTTGAAACAACAAAACAAAAACATCATAAATATTTGATTTTGTGATTATAAATGTTTAAATTAGCATTTGTTCTTTGGTGTTAAATGTTTTATGAGCATATACTGTAATGCCACCTGTTCAAATCTGATACTGTTCAAACGCACATACTCTAGAAGAGAATGCTAACATCATGTAACCATTCCATGTTGCTACATTATATGGTACATATAAAATATATTTGGCTGTTAAATTTGTCATTGAAATTGTTTTTTTATAAATGTCCAAACCACAGTCTAAAATGTACAGGCGTAAAGCACATGCTTCCTCAATGCCATTTTAGCGTACACTATGCTAATCTTAAATTAATGCTGTGTTGACATTCAAATGTGTTGCATATTAAATGTGTTTGGTAGAAAGGGAGCAAAAAATTGCGACCACATTTCCCAAAGAGAGACTGGGTGACAGAATAATATATTTGAATGTAGGTTAGGTTAGCTTAAACACACAAAAAAGGTAATTTAGTAAAAAGTATAAACAAACCTGGGACAACGTTAGCCAAAATGTTACTTTCACTTAGCCCATATGTTGCAAAATTTGGTATAAATGCTAAAGGAATTCACCCTGTACACAAGCACTAAAAACACATCCCTGTCATAGCATCAATATTATTGAGATTTAATTTTAAATATGATTTGAAATATTTGAAAACACCTATAAATAATAATAATATAAATTTTGTTTGACTAACTTGCATCATTTGTTTCACATATTGTTGATTTATTACACAGCATTACTGTTTGTTACCATAAACACAAATGTATGGAGCCATATTAAAAGGTTGTTAGTCAACACAACAGAAGGACACAGTTGAGCAAGTTACAACAGGGTGGAGGATCTGGAGGAATTCAGACTGCTCCATGGTTTCCCAACATCTATCCTTTATATTTGTAATTCATCTCTGAGTCAAAGATGTTCAATCAGATGGGGTTTTTTTTATTTAGGGATTAGTTTTAAAGGTGCAGTAATTGTTTGGAGTATTTGACTAGGTTCTGTCAAACACCCGAAAAAATATCTCGGTATGAATCCTGTTGTTCTACAAACTCCATAGGTTTTCATAGTTGGAATTATGTAAGAGTTTTTAACTTAAATTCTTGCTCTGCTGTTTCTATTTAGAAATCATAGCCTGTTACCAGTGTCAATCCCCTAGTTTTAAATTAGGTATTTGTAAAACGACTACAGTCTGAATTAGATAAAAATGTGCACAATGAGTGCCTGTGTATGTCTTTCCACACACAAAAAAACTGTTTGGTTGTGTGGACTTCAGTCAGCAGTTCCTATAAGACGGTTCACCTATTTGACCTACAATAGAGTGGATATCTGTCTCCTTGTCTTACTTCACATTTGACTTACAGTAGAAATGTGCACCATTTGGATGAACTATTTTATACAAATAACTATTGAACAAAAACAAGTTTGACAATAACTGTAGTTTTTTAGAGCAAGTGCTTCTTGATATGACACATTTCTAAAAAAAAGAGTTTAATTAGTTTGAAACTAAAATTAGTACAATAGTAAAAGCTCTATATTTGCAAAAAAAAGGAAACACTGATCTTGTCAGAAAAATGTAAAGGTTTTAAAGTTTTGAGTTGATTATTTGCCCAATTTTTGATAACGAAAAAATAAAAACAAACACACAAACACAATGTACCAATGACTGTAATTTCTTACCGACTTCGGGGTGTACCTCAATCCACTGTCCATGTAATCCATTAGAGGTTACCACCTGGATTAAAACAAAGTGAACAAAAATGTCTTGTCTTCCACCTGTCCCTTTAGCCTGGATATTTCCTTTGACCTTCTGCGGTTGAATTCCCGAGATGAACCTGCGTTCGTCGGTGGCAAAGAGACGATTCAAGTCTTGTAAACGAATGAATCAAGTAGTTTTAAAAAAAACACTACGAACGTAAAAAAGACCCTCTACTGATCAGGTGTTCGCTGGTACTCTTCTATACAGAATATGTCGTCTCTCAGTGTAACCACAACCGAGGGAAACTAGCAGGTAGAAAAAAGTTTTCCACAAGCGTCGGGTTTCTGCGGGCGTGTCTCCGTGCGTGTCTACTTCCTGTTTACCTGCCGCAGGTGGGCTAGCTAGATTAGCTCAAATTCAATGTAAAACGACTCAGGATTGCACCAAACTCTGTCAAGGAAATCCGCTGCCTTGAAAATGATTAAGAACTTCACTGATTTATGTTTCTAAGCGGTGAAATATTACGTTTGAGGTTACGTTCAAAGCACCTGTGCAAATGTAAATCCAAAACGTTTTTACACTACAAATAGTTCATATAATCTCTGTTTCATACAATATGTGTATAGTATCATGTGAACTTAAGCGAGGGGTCTAACGGTGTTTCCCAAACATGATGACTCAGTCTGCTTATTTGTCACGATGAGCCACTAGTTTCAGTATGACGATAAAGAGCCCGCCCCCGTACGTGAATACCCCACAGTGTACCTGGGATGTGAACGCAACACCTTGATGTGACGTAACAAACTGTCAAACCTAAGATATTTTAAGTCAGTATGGTTTCAACGATTAGTCAGCTCATGACTACCTAAATCCTAGTTTACAAAAACAAAATATACTGAAACATATTGAAACAATGAAATGCATTAGTACACTTTTGTTTTCATGTCTATTTGTAGATGTCCAGGTCTTACTTATTATATATGTATGTACTAAACATACTATCTATTAGCTATATATTTTTTATGTATTTTGCATCTTCAAACTCTATAATTTTGTTATTTTCTGTGTTGTTTACAGTCAGCTATTTTAAAAAGAAAATAATTTACCTTTAGTAAATTTGCAGTCAACTTCATCATCTCTATAGCTAACTGTATCAATGTTTTGTTATTATTTTTATTTATTATTGTTATTATCTGGTTCCCTTTTGGACAATTTTTAGACCTTGCTCCCTGACTTATCTTTTACCAAACCAAGATGGCAAAATTGCTTTGGGCTTAAGGGAAGTGGGATGTGTTATAGTAACAGTTCTCAATTGAAAATGATGTAAATAAATAGCTGTTGAGTGCAGTTCAATTTATACAATCATAACTTAGCGAACCAACCACCCATTCATCCATCCACTCATATTTGTATATGGAAAATGACACATCCATGTGGAAGTTGTGAGTTTATTGAAGTGTATCCCCTTGTCACCGTGAATCTGTTTCCATTGGCGTCAATCATTTTGTTTTTTTAAAAAAATCAATATTATTTATAGTTTCCTCTCCCACAATCAAGCAGGCAATTACAAGGTTGAAGCCGTTTGGGTGCATAGTGAGACAGTCACATACAGAGATACTGTCACAGGAAGAGAGAGAAAGGAGGAGAGCGAGAGAGAGAGAGAGAGAGAGAAGAAAAAAAGCGAACAAACTTAAAAATATACACCATATCAGCTCATATAGGTACAATGCACACCACAGGTAATTCTCCAGGGCAAAAAAAAAAAAGCCAAGATTGCCACATCAACTATACAGGCATAGACATGTAGAGATAGGGAAAAGACAGAAAAAAGAGGATTCAGTTTATTTTGTGTCACTCTCTACTGAAAAAAACAAAACGTAATATTTCAGCAACCTGCTTGGCTTTCTGTATCATTTAGCACAGACCCCCAGCTCTAAATTGCCTGCAACTGTTCTTGATCCAGCAACAAATCCATAAACCTTAGTAGCTTTCAGTCTTATATTCCAGCATTAACTGATTGATGTGAACCCAGTTATTGACTGCAGCATCCCTGAAGTCGGCAAAATGTTTGCGTTTGACTTTCAGTCTTAGGCCCATTGGGACCTAATGAGTTCTAAGCAGATGTTTATTGCATCTGTGGACATGTTTTGGACTATCTGACTGTTTGGTGCTGTATGACTGGTGGTAGTTAAGGTAACAATTCTCCTATAGTCGGAGAATATTGTTTTTTTCTCTCTTTTATTTAAATTTCCTTAAGCTAGTCCTGTCCCTGTAAATAAAGAGCTTTGTATCAGGATGGTTTCTGGTCTTAAACGTTGGTTTACCACTGTTGTATTTCCCCATAGGAATTCAGCATCTGGAAGTAATACAGTTGTTTATTTCTGCCTTAAATACTTTTCATAAAATTGTTTTTTTTTAAATCTTCTCATCCACTGTCACAATTTACAGCATATGACACAGCATTAAAACCAGTTTTTCTAATACATTCAATTATGTCACACAAAAGTCAGTGATCAATTTAAATCTATTGGTTTGCTTTTCTGTTAGTAACAGCATGTATGTATGTGTAGAAGGGAACTTGTTGTGATATTCAGGTGGTTTGGGCTCTGAGTAGTCTGTGTGAGCTGGGTGGCCTGTGCACACTTTTAATTTTTACATTTTTTTTTTACCCTAATTTAACTCATATCCTTTTATCTGGGGAAAATGGATACAAACAGCTACTCTCATATTTATATATATATTCTTATATATATAATTTCAACGGTATATTTAGTCTTGTAACAAAGAACATAATATAAATAACTAATGATTTCATTTTTTTCTCATTTGTTGTTTCACTATACATTTTAATCGGTACAAAGAACCTTCATATACAAGCAATCTATTGCATCTAAAACACCAATTTTTTTTGAGAAACAATCAGAAACTGCTCTGGACACTTGAATGATGGGAAAAATAAAGTGTAGTGCCTGGAGTGACGGTTTGATAATGGCTACTCAAAACCACTTTACATTTTGCTAGATTTGGCTATCACCTTGAAAAGTAAAAAAGAAACTTTCTGAATAAATGATATACATCTTGATCTTGATAACTGTATTGATAAACAAAATCACAGTTCCTGAAATGAAAAAAAAAACGAAACAAAACAAAAACATGGCAGGTCGGCTTTTCAAAAGAAACATGATCAAAAGAGCTCTATATTACAGTTGTAGCAGTAGTAGAAGTAGTAGCATTATTTCAGGATTGTTTTCAACAAACCGTTAAGTGGAGTTTTAATGTATGCAAATAATTGTAACAATAGCGTCATATGTTATTGGTCAGTAGTATGTTCCCCCATGGTTGCTGTCCTCTTGTCAGTCAGCTCTCCTGCGCCCTCTCTAGGCTTTGGCTAGATCTGCATCTGCTCCAGATATTTGTAGGTGGGGTTTTCGTAGCCGTGGTTTTGCATTTTGCTGAGGTGACGCTCCTCTGGTGTCAGCATGGGGTCAACCTGAGAGACGACAGACACAGAGCATTTATGACGGATGACCTTACTATGGGCATAAGGTATTTTACGATGAATGTGTATATTTATTCATACAGAATAAGATTAGATCAATTAAATATTTTCTTTAAAATAATAACTTTCAAGAAAAAAAATTAAGAAAAATATATACGGTGATAAAATGTCACGTTACATGTGCTTTAACTATAACTGAAAAAAGCAGAAAAGGGGTTTGTAGTTAATATTTTAGCTGCCAAAATATCCATTGTGAAATGTGAAATATATTCAATGTCATGTACTGGATGATCATGGTGGCTGTTTATTATTATTCCTGTAGAAATAATACTCCTCTCATTTGTTTTCACTGTCTTAATTTGTTTGCACAGATTGGTTCTATGGCTTTCTTGCTTGTAAATAGCATTCTGCTAACTAAAGTAAATGTATAAGTAGCCAATGAGGTTGTGGAATAGCACATAGCCTAGCTTATATTGTATTTTATAACTAACGGCAAAACAGAACTGCCTCTGTTTGCCTGTTTGATCTACGGTCGAGCTGTGCCAGGATCCTCGCAGCTGGATTACACAATGATCTCCCACTACTGCAGTTGGAGGTGTACTTAAGTGGAGAATGGATTACTCACTTAACTCTCAATTTAAACTATATCATATCTGAACTTGGAGGTTTCAGTATTCACACTGTGTCAAGTGACACACCGTAGCCTTATCTCTCTGTGAGCCTAAGTGTGTGTAAAACAATGTTAATCCCCAGAAATTCTCCACACTGTGTGCACAATAAAATACTGCTTACCTCTACGATGCCATGGCTGATAGTCCCATATTGCCTCTTCCTCAAAAGCACCAGACTAATCACAATCACAGTTGCTATGGCTACTGCAATCACCAGCAGGCCAATCAATGCACTGCTGCCGAAGCTGAAATCCTCTCCCAAGGGACGGTAGGTCTCCTGACGGGTACAACGAGTGAGAGCGAGACAAGACAAAAACAAAACATGAGCTCATTGGCCAGGTATCGTCTCAACAGTGAAATATGGTTGTGATCCTTTAATGGGAATTAAAGTGCAGTTAGTTCTTCAAACCGCCATGCCCTGCAAGAACATTACATTTGATCAAAGTAGTTTATGTATTCTATAGATTCAACCAGATTCATTTTCGGGCTATTGTGAGGAAAATCACTCCTAATAAGATAAGATTTGCCACCAGGTTGATATTTTGAGTTTTGAATTGCGTGTATACATGCATGAGGTGTGACATACATATAAACCTCAACAACAATTTTCTGCATACACACACAACCTGGCACATATGATACAAACCAATCATAAGCAGACGCCCATTACTCCCCCTCACCCGTCCAGCTCCACCCCCCGCTCGACCTCAAACATAAACTGAGTACGCTCAGTTTGTGTGGGTTCACATTCATCGTATGAGCCAAAATTTTCCACAGTGTACATTCACATGACAAACATGCGCACATGCAGAAGTAACCAAAACATATTAGCCTGAACAAAACACTTTTCAAAAAATGAGAGAGGGAGGGCCATTTGGGAAATGCTGTGTGTTTTCTTCTTCTTGCAATTTTCTCAGCGTTAAAGCCGGTCGGCTCCTACGGACGAAGCCCCACACCTCCACACCGCCTCCCTTTTTCATCTTCTCCTTACTACTGATAACTACAGTCCCCCAGAGAACCCTGTGGAGGTGCTATACTCACCAGCTCATCATCATGCATAACGCTGACTCTCTCTGCACTGTAAACCACTTCTTTAACATCCAGAGACTCATCAATCACCTGCCAACACAGACAGGGAGCCCAGGTTACACTCACCACAATCTGTGTATGTGTGTGTACGTGTGTGTGTGGGAGAGAGAGACAGATGGAGAGAGAGTGAGAGAGAGGGAGAGACTCTGGGGTTGTGTGAGACTCAGAGACAGGAAAATAATTGAATAAACAAGTTGAGAGTGAGAGTGTAAACTGCTCAGATTGTCTGTGTTTTGGCGAAGATACACAGCATTTGGAGCTGTCTGGTCAAAACAAAAAAAAACTGTAAGGAGAGAGGGAGGAGGGGGATTTGCAAGCATCAACAACAGATCCTGTGCTAGACACACAGTTAGCATGTTTTTGTTTACTAAACAGATTGTCAGACATTCATTACTAAGTCCTCTAATCCACACAAGAAGAAGTGCTGTGAGTGCAAGTGTTTAATTCCAGACCGGAGAAACATAATTTTATTTTGGTGGAGACAGAGCAGTCCAGGGTGTTTTAAAAAAAATACAGATGCTGCTGCATCTTATCATTCACCCCCAGACTGCTCTGTTATAATAACTTATTTTATGCCCCCCTCCCAAATAAGGAAGAAACATGCATTTAGTGAAAATAAAATCACATTTGCATGACAAATATATACACGGCGACACACAAATACACGGCCTTGCAGTTGCTGGTAGATTAGCATGCAAAACACAGCACACAATTTCGAGGCAGGCATAATCTGACGTTCTGTGAGGAAGAATGGCGCGTCTTGGCAAGGCAAAGTGGCAGTGACTGTAGAACAAAGCGTGGCGTTGAACTGAATGGAAGTCGTTGTTGGCACAAAAATAGCTGCATGTGAGGTGGCTGTAGCTATGACAACATACATACTGGAGTAATCTGAGTCATTAAGAGCAGAACACGAGAGAGTTGAGTTAAAGCATAACTGCACACAGCCTTTCAGAGATTTTTGAGGTAATATTTGAATGTGATAACAATGTGTCAACTGTAACAGTATGGCAGATGAAATGTAACATTTTTTTCCAAATTCATGTCGAAGTGATTGGTTTGTAAATGTTTAGTAACTGCAAAAAGTTTGCGTCATTGGTAATCTTAATAAAAAAACGTAATCTTCATCGCATTGTTATCAAAATAAAATGTAATCTTCATCGCATTGTTATCAAAATATGTCCTTATAGAAACAGTTCTGCGATTTAAGGTAGAACTGTTTTATCATGACAATGTCAAACTAATAGCATACAGAGTCTTGGACTCACATTGGATTGGACTAGTTTGACACCAAATTTGACCAAACTTTGTGTTAAACTCAAATCAAATACAGGTTTGAAAATAGGAAAATATGAATAAATAATTTCTAGACAGACGATAGCGAAGAGCTTAAGGTTTATCTTAAATCTTTTACAAACTACAGTGCAGTGACCTGAGTCCATCAGGTGACCAATTTGACCTTTGACCATTTATTTAGGTTAACATGTTTACATATGTATTAGTTACACTTTAATCTGACCAAAAAAAAAAAGGAAGGAAATACCCGAGGTGTTATTGCATCATAAAATTATATTGTTTGTTTGAAATAAATGAATGTGTAAATACCTTTACACCGTGTGCTGCTTTAACAAAGCTGCTCTCAGTTCTCATGCCGGACGGGTTAGTGAGTTTGAAATGAGCACAAACATCTGACTCACATCAAACAGAGTGACACTCTTACCACATTGTTGTTGATCTTAGGTTTGCTGTTGATGATCCTCTCCTCGGCGCCTATCAGGCCATCCAAACCAGACATGGCAGAGCCTGTGGGAAGCAGAAGGAGCAAAGTAAATAAGAGCAGAGCAGCACAGACCAACAAACAAGCAGGGATTGATGGTGTTGATGGTGGACAGCTGCACACACAGATATCCAGCTCTCAACTGCTGCCTCAGTCTCCTGGTGACAACAAAGCCCTTTCTTCCCCTCAGGACAGCGCGAGCAGTGTGAAGCCATCGTGACACTGACCTTATACCGGCTACAAAGAGCCTCTCAAAATCTGTGTTTGCAAAGAAGTTGACATTTCGTTGTCAACATCCATGTACGTGAACTGAATTTATCGACGAAGTCACGGCGGCATCAGCATTTACAAATCGTTAGTGTTTTACTAAAGATGCAAAAATCTTGAGGATTTTCCTGAAGTGTCGAATATATACATGTTTGACTGACGGCTATGGAATAAGCATGGGATCTATAAGTACATACACACACTAGACATAGCATGAATAAATCAGAAGCCGTGAGGAGAATAAGGATGAGTGAGGCACTAATGTCAGGGTCATGAGTAACATAAAGCAGAGTCTGCTGTCGGCCCATTGTCTGCGGCTGCTGCTGCTGCTCATCAGCTGGCGCTAAACACTGGAGATTAGTACAATTGCCTTTGGATTAAGCGATGGACAATGATGGCGTGTTTACAAATCTCCCTGCACTCGCCAAAAGTGACGTCAGAAGTGGACCATCAGATGGTACTGCAGGGTACACATAATGCTGCAGCCAGCCTCACTGAGAGCAACCTCTATGGAATCAATGTGACCTCTCATCTGCATTGATTGGAAAAAGTTGCTATACAAGCAGTGTATTATTTGAATGGGCAAATGACAGAAAATTAATTGAAAATTCATCATTTGAGTCATTTACCCAGCGATATCTTCTGGGTAACAATGGGACAGGGAGCGCAATGAACTCACTGCTCTTTTAACAGTTGTTTGTAGACTAATAAAAATATGAAGTCAGCCGTAAATAGAGAGGCCCCATGTTAAGTAAAAAACAATATTAGTAGGAGCAATTTACTCAACGAGAATATGCAGTAAATATAAGTCTATAGAACCCTGAAAAATACCAGGTTCTCATTTAAAGGAACTGAACTGAGACACTTGAGGAGCACAGAACTTTCGGTGACTTGGATATTTCTTGTCATTTTTTTTCAGATGTACTACGTTTATGGCTCCAAATCAGTCAAATGATAAGAGCAGAGTGCAGCCTTCTTCAGGTCATCATTGTTTTTGGATTGGATTTAGATCTAACTTCTGACCTAGCTCATTAAAAAATAAGTCGATTTGGATATCAGTTATTTGGATGAATGCTTTAGGGTTTTGTCATGATGAACTGTCAAAATGTCTTTCTTCATGTCCAACTACCTGGCAATTCCATTCTTGTATTATTCCTGGAGAACAAATTCAAAATATGGAAAATATGGGTCAGCAGTGGAAAAGTTGAGTCTCAGTCTGGAACACTTTCATCAGGGAGATGGCGACTAGTGAGAGGAACCACAGCGTGGGAGGGAATAATTAAGGAAGGAACTTGATCCAATGTACTGAGGACAGGACAACAACCAGCAGACCACTAATGACTCTCTGAACTTTTACTAAACCAACAACCAGGTACTCTGCTATTCAGCATGAGGCGATAATCCAAGTGTGAGAAAAATAAATGCAAAAAAGAAACTGAAATCTGAGCATGCTGTCCGTGTGAGCCAATAAAAAAGGCAGAAAATAAACCACAATAAAGCTTTTGGCAAAACAGAAAAGGTTGGGAGACAGAATGTGGCCAAGAATTGGTTTCAAAGAAAGACAGACAAACAGTAGAATACAAATATTGATGAAAATGGTTTAAGGGATGATAAGAGGAAGGAAGAGGGAAGCAGGAAAAAACAAGATGCAACAGAGGCACCAACCTTTTTTGAAGGAACGTGGGGGGTCTGAAAAATCGCCTTGGCATTAGAAATGAGCAAAGGAAAACAAAAAAGAAAGAACAGAAAAGAAAATATGTAAAAAAAAAAAAAGAGAAGTGAGAAGAGAAAAGCAGGATTATCAAGCTGTGATCAATAAGGACAACTCTACCAGGGAAGTCAGAAAATAAATTAAACTGAACTTAAGTGAAAGCCCTGTCTTAGATGTCAGCACGTACACTGTGTATTAAATGTTCCACAAGGACATGCCACTTTCCTTTCCTCTAACTGGAATCACTCTGTCCATCAATTTTTTCTGGAGATTTCAATCTTCTGCGGAACAAATGTGACAAAACTGTGACTGCTCATGTTTTTTCCCTCCCTGAATGCTTTTGGATCCAACCGAGCCCGAGGCTTTGAGCATTTATCTGAACTACTCGAGTGCTGTGTTGAAGGCTATGCCACAGGGAGCTGTGCAGGCAGAGATAAGTCCAAACCAATGGCTTCACAGCCCATTTTGTATTGGCATAGAACATTGTTGTAAATCTCTTCTTTCAGCACTGCCGGTGTGCTGGCCACCGATGTCCTTCACAATGACTAAGTGTCTAGGTTTCTGTCCTCCACCACAGATTTTGCAGGTTCTGTCTGACTGTGCTGGGTGTGCTCACCTTCAGGCTCAGAGCGGGACCCCAAGGATGAGACCTGGAAGGGCCTGTAAGGTTTGCCCTCTGACATGGGGACTTCCACACTCTCCTCAGATGACACTGTGACATCGGGCTGTAAATCAGAGATTGACGACAGGAACTGGTCCAAATCAGCCTTCTGCTCCTGCAGGAGCTCATCTGCAAAAAAATGAATAATTATAGATACAGGTGTATTAAAATCAATTGTGTTAGTCCAGTCTTTCTCACATGCACAGAACCAAACAAGTCAGTGGAGTTTATTGTGTAGCAATAAACTTCAACATCTGCCCCACCCGAACCACCAAAATGTCATCCGTGCTGTGGAGCATAATTACAACCGCGTGTTCAGCACCAAACCACATTTGCTGTAAAGTTTAACAGCAGCCACGGCTTAAAGCATATTCTGCTTTATGATTTATACTAGTCTTCATCAGTCGCCTCTGTCTGTCGGAGTGTTTCACATCGTTAATCATCTACATCAACACCGTCAGTTTTGCTGCGCAATGACTTTTGTTTCCCACTCTTTCTCGAAGCACCTCAACGTGCACATGACATGATCACTGACCTCTGCACCGTGTGTGACTGAGGACATTCACAAAGATAGGCTTTGTCTCTCAGTGCCTGGGTATGAGCTGGTTCTCTGTAACTGTAAACTACAGCAGTGGTTTTATCATCGTAAAAACAATGAGGACAACAGAGCCAAGTTCTGGTTATTGTTACTTTCAAATCTTACCACACTCATAAATATAACTTATATTAATAAAAAATAAAATCATTGTCAAGTGGACAATGGGAATTTCAGTAAAGAGTAACTCTGATTCTGAAAAAAATGACCTATTTCAATATACAGTATAACTGACTGATGACAATGTGAGAGAAGCTATAATGCATTGAATATTAATGGAAGCAAGAGGTTTGGGGAGAAATCTCTAAAGGCCAGTGATGGTACTGCACTGAGGACTGTGGCTTTAAAAACAGGAATTATAGAGAACGTTTATCTTTTTTTTTATGTGGTCTGAGCCTGGCATCTGCTAACACCCGTGAGCCTGAGTCATGGCAGCAGATGGGAAATTCACAGATTCACCAATATTGCCTGCATTATTACGTTTTTACAACCACAGAGCGGCATGGGTGAGGAGCAGATGTCTGTTCCCATTTCAGCTCAATACAAATTTCTCAATCTTTTCTTTGAGCTGTTTTCCATGTGAATCTGCACATTTCCCAACAGGATGCATCGTGGTGAACGCTGTGACCCAGTTCTGTCACTGCACCCACTTTAATCTGTGCTGTGACACCATGCTATGCTTTCTTTAATGAACCAAAGGAAACAAAACAAAATATGAAACTTGAAAGACATTCGTGTGTCAAGCTGTGCACTGGAGATGAAAGCGTCTGTAATACAGCTCCCAGTTTTAGATCTAATAAAATGTGAAGCTGCTCAGAATGGTGGCCATGATATATTCTCTTTCACATGAACACATTAACAAAAGACCATATTTTTCACTCTGCCTCTGACAGTCAACTGGTCTCTGCCTTTCCTTTCCCTCTTACACAAAGAGGAGTCTATAATTTTGACAGTTCGATGCTGCCCCAGAGAAAATGTGATGCATTTGTTTAATCTTTCTGGCACACGCTATTTGCAAATCCCATTATAGTTTTATTTCTTTTCACTTTTATTAATATGCACCATCCTCCTTTTGAGGTTTCTAAGCGGGAAATTGACCGAACACTACTTACCGATTTCGTCCTGAATCTCCTCGGCCACGTAGGGCACTTTGTAGAGCAGAGAGAGACTCTGATTCATCCTCTCCTCAATCACACGCAGGTGGGTCATCACCTGTCATTGTAAAATAAAATAAAATTTAAAATACATTTAAAAATATATGTGGATACTGAATTACTGGTCTATTTGCAAAAGTGAAAACAAAAGTGAGGCTTTTTTAAATGGTTAGTACAAGAGGTCGTTTATAGTTAATGATAATTCCAGAAAGAAGTGCAGTGGGAGAAACAAATATAGAAATGAATGCCTTTAACACACTCCCAGAATGTTGGCACAGATGCAAAATAAGCATCATAAAATACACATTCTGGAAGGTTCTAAAAAAAGCCTCCAACAAGGTGCCAGTCTTACGCATAAAGATGGTTAATGGCTGACTGCTTTATGCATAGTTACAAAATCAATTTTTACTGAAAACAGGGTTAGGTTCTCACCACGGACAGTGATGAGGATGATGAGAAGTTTCAAGCAGGAAAGTAAGTAAAAGTGAAGGATGGGAACTGCTGCTGAATGTGCACAACATTTTGACCTTTGAAGTATTTTGACTGTGACACCATCAGAAGTAGCTACATCATCAGAACAGTGGCGTTTACTACTGGCTACTGCAGGTACTGCTGGTGTGTCTTATTCATGAATTTTTTGATAGGGATGTGACTCAGGGACAAACGAATGCACCTACTTTTTTTGGAGTCTTTTTCTTTGTCTTTCTTAGACCAATAAATTATGTTGGTCAATGAAACACAGGGTGAGTTGTTCTGTATGTGACATTTAACAATTGTTGTACTTCCAGAGAACTCATAAAAATAAATAAATTCATTTAGAGATTTCTTGACACACAGAAAACTGTTCTCTCCTCAGGATATGTTCATATGAATAAAACTTGTGATTTTTCATATTCTTCCAATTTTACCAGAACTGTCAAAGAACAGCGGGAAATTTCCCCCCCGGTTAGGAGCAAATATTTTATAAGATGAAGGGAGACTGGTTCACAGCCGGCTGAATGCAGACATAAAACACTTTGCTGCATGTAATATTCAAATTGGCTGTGAACACTTGACGGGAGCTGCTGCATGTCAGTCCCAATGATAATTACTACTGTACATCACAGGCTGAATAAAACAAACACATCCCTTTGATTGAGTAGTTTTTTTGTGTGCGAGTTATAAAAGTTCTACCACCATTTGCGAGCTCCTGTGGCCAGATTGGCCTGGCACAAAATAAAAAGCGTGCACCAGCTCTTGACAGGTAACTGGTGTGTTTATAAGTCACAATAATGACAAACACTTTTTTTGTTTTTTTGGTGCAGTGCAGCAGAACCAGCAAGAGATGTTTCTTTTTTGCTGCAGTGCAGCAGAACCAGCAAGAGATGGCAACAACGAGCCTCTCGCCTCGGCACTGCTGCAGCCTGGGTGTCACCTTTATGTACATGTTTGACGTGTTTGCTCTGTATGAAGAATAGATATCACTATTTCAAGACTCAGAGAAGGTGAGAGAGTTGAGGTCTTTAGGACTGATCCCAGAAAGTGACATAACACTGTTATATAAACCCAGCAAACCTCTTTTTAACTGATTATAGCCATGTACTGTAATTTAAAGTTGCAGAAAAATGAGTCTAAACTTCACAAATTCTTACAAACAGCAAACACTGACTTTCTACCTGGACTAAGCACTTAAGCACTCCATCACCTTTGTCCCTCAATCATGCTCTATCCGTTGTCTGTGTTGTGTGTTATACTGGTGGGTAACTGATAAGAGAGCCAAGGGCGCTGACACTCAAACGACATCATCAAACAAAGGCCTGTTTTCCAGACAACTCCATGTGCACGAACCGGGGATCCTGTATTACACCAAGGTCTGCACAGTTTTCTACATAAGTGAGTGAACCGCACCACCCTCACTTCCCTCCACGTTCCCTCCACGAGACGAGACAATTCACTCCTCGCTGGTTTTGACTTGGAGAAACACACAGTCTTTCTACCTCCTACGCACAAAGAAACAGGGCTGAGGCTGAGGCGTCATTATCTTTCTCCTGTCAGAACAGGAGCTGGAGGAGTGTGAGACTTTGGAGTGGCTCAGCATGAGGTATCAAATTTACTGAAAGTGCTTCACATAAGGCATGTTATTTTCCAAGAGGGAGACGCCAATTAACCAGACCTCAGGAAATACATACGTGATTAACGATGAACTACAAATCTTTTTATTCCAGCTCTTAAATGTCCAGAGGTGAAACTTTATAGATTTCAACATTTGCCAAAAGTAGTATGATTTATGAAGCTTTAGTCTGGAAATTGGAGAAAACTATAAAGATATCACTGGAAGGATATGAATTAATGAGAAGTAATATTATACAGTATATATAATATAATATCTAACATTATCATTATCTATTATTGATTTGATTCCTTATTGATTCTCCTATGGACCTTATTGAGTTAAGGAGTACGATAATGCATTAGGACAGAGCCATTGATTCCTGTCCAGATTTAATTATAACTTGATTTAGGTAAAAAAATATAAAAAATAAAAACAGAAAACTGACCTGGGACTTCATCTGAGCCGCCTTCTCAGGATCCACAGCCAGGACGTGCTGATAGTGTCTGATGGTGTGCTGTCGGTCCTTGTTTTCTGCACGGACGTAACGTCTCAGGGCTTGGAGGATGCGATGAGGCTGAGGTTGATATAGAGTCAGACAAAAAAAATAACTACATTAACATACATATTCAACCTGCTGACATGAAGTGTGTTCGGCCGTTGACATAAGAACCAAAGAATCAAAGTTGCCAGCTGTTGATAAGATCCTAAGTATCACTCTATATGTGAAATTCACAGTACTACATATTTGTCTTAAAGCTGTGAACTATATTTGAATCTGGTGTATATTTTTATTTTATATGTCAATATATTTCATATTAAAACTTTTAAGTATTCTGTTTTATATTTAACAGCTGAAAGAAAAACACAGCCTCACAACCATTTAATTTCTTCACTGGTTGTTGAGGAGAAACTGAAGCTCAGAAGTTCAGCACATTGCAGCAGAGACCCATCAGTTTCTGGCAAATAAAGAGCAGGAGATAAAAGTAATTCCAAAAGAATTTGCTGCATTCATACAGTTTCCGTAATGTGATAAAGTACAGGATGTGACACAAACCACTGGACGTAATAAGTGACATCAGAGTCAGCACACCGAGTCAACAAAGGAGTAAAAAAAAAAGATGAAGCAAGGTAAAGGATGTATGAAGTTGCACTTTGTGGCTGCTCTGCATTGTTTACCCTTGGGGGGTCAGCTTGTAGGGCAGCCAGGTAGTTCTCCAGTGCCAGACGACGGCGATCATTAAGCATGGCCTCCACCCGGGCAAGGTGAGTCTCCACCAGCTGCTGCTTCTCACTGGCAGCTTCCTCCTCCAGGGACTCCACCATGGCTTGGAAGTGCTATAAAGAAGGAATGAACAACAGCGAATATAAATATGGACGTGCAGTATTAACAGTGTGACACACAGACCTTGCTCACAGAAAAAAACAGGTCTCCATTTCACACTTGTTGCCTCGCAGGGAGTTGAAGTCTCATTTAGGAGTGCACCCATTCAACGTGTGCCCTGATTTATTGTGGGAGGGATAAAGATAGAGCAGCCGGGGAAAATAGATATTTAATGCCACCAGGGATTGGAGGATCCACTGCCTGAAGGCAAGCCGTCACATCTCACCCAAACAAAAGCACAAAAGGGTGTAGAAGGGCAGAATTCTCAAGAGCGGAGGATCGCTGACTTACCTGGATCAGTGTCTGCCTCTCGGCCTTGGGCAGGTTCTTAGCCTGGCGATCTGCCTCTTCCCATTCCTTCCTCACCTGGAGACAGCAACACAGAGGATGGAGGCAAATGAATGGATACAATTCACTGTGGTCACCTGTTCTTCATGATCAGGTAGCCGACAGGTTTGGCTGAAAAAAAAGGAGCCACTGAAGCGTCTCCCGTCCTCCTTCACTCTAAATGGGTCAGCCAACAGTCAGTTTGCTAAATATGAATAAAGGTGCACAAAGCTTGTCAACTGCTCTTAGGGGGAGTCCATTTAAGCATGACCTTCCTTCTTGACACAAACCAATAATTAACGTGTACGCCTTTCAGATAACAAATGAACTCGGCAGCACGCTGGCTTTAAGCAGCGGCGGGCAGGAATCGATAGAAATGAAGCTGATTGCTGTTTTTCATCACCAAGTCCTTCAATAGTTTGTGGGATTAAATCTCTCCTTGCGGAGCTCCTCCCACGTGGTTTCTATACGTCAGATGTTCCACTTTAACTTTATCTGAATAGACTACATTCATTGTTATCTCTGAAAAACTTTATCTGAATAGACTACATTCATTTGCTTATCAGATTCTCTTTGAATCTCTTGTTGTTTTTTCACGGTTGCTAAGCAGTGTAGGCCATTGTTCCCAGTGCTAGACAGTGCCATGAAAGGGTCGTGTAAACACAGCTGCCTGGTGGATAAACAGACAGGTGCTGGCTTCTCTTCCTTTCTGCCATCCTGGTCCATGTCAGATTTCCCCAAGGAAAAAGAAATGAGCGGAGTGGAGATGCTGATGTGAAGCTTCAGTATCCAGATAACTTGATTAACATTGCGCTGAAAGGTTATTATAAAATACTGTCTACGACAGCTGGAGGGCGAGGCTTTTATTTAGACTGCATTAAACAATTGAATCTAAAAAAAAAACAAAACATGTTTTTTTTATATGTGTTTATTGTTCCAAGTCATGTCCTGCTTTTAGTTCCAAACATCATCACATTTGTCACTGTGACGCTGACAACTCTGGCATTAGTGTGTGCAAACATCCTACTAAATTGGAAAGCACAACAATCTATCACAACAGCTGTTACCTTCAGGAGAAGAGATAACATTTCCACTTCGTGTCCTTGGTTTTGAATCACTGTTTGAATGTGCAGTCTCAAACCTTAAAGACGATCTATAACTGGATTTCATTTGTATTTATACATGAATTTTGCATACGATTAAGCAGCTACTGTTTTCACAGCAGCAGACCAAACATTCCATAGCAGCGACTTGATAATGTTGTTAACGTTTAGTTTTTGGATCTGTTGCATTTCAGGAAACATAATATTCAATTTGAGTGAGTGTCTTTATCCATACAAAAACTCCAAAACAAAGAGCTGTCCAATGGAAACAGAGCATGTAAAAAATCTGTTGAAAAAACCCCTCCTAGTAGAGTTATGATTATACTGATGAAGTTGTTGACCTTGATTTCTGCTAATCACATCTATCTACACTAACTGGCTAAAAAAGATGTTTTCCATGTCAGCTTATTGATTTATTTCTGTGCATGTTTTAATTTCAAAAATAAAAACGTATGCAGTCTAAATTGATTACATACAGTTCATGTAACAGTGTAGAATGAAGTTGTTGTGATAAGCAGTCGATCTTCACTGATTGTTTCCTGAGTACGGAGGCAGATTTCACTCTTGAAATTCAGACTTTTTGAAACTCACCCTCTCCATGCGATTGCGGTGTCGAATCTCCAGCTGCTCCTTTGCTCTCTGAAAGCGAGTGTGCTCCTTGTCATCGACCGGGGTCTCAAAGTAGATGTCCACGTCGTCAGTGGGCTGAGGCGTGGGTGGCACGACTGCAAGATTCAGACACAGATGTTGAGTGGTAAATGACAACCGGGCAGATCAATGTGGACAGAAAACAGAGCGACAGGAAGAGGGGCTGATCTTAGCAGAAAGACAAAGACAGACAGCCAGTCACAGTGAGGGAGGAAAAGTTGAAGCAGGACGCAGACTGAAGGTGGACATAACAGAAGCACTCCTCACACTGGCATTCTTCCAACCTCTTTAATCCTGAAATATTTAAGGGAATCTGACAGTCTTTCCTTCGTACTCCTTTTCATCTTCTCACCGCCTTTCTGCTGACACTTCTCATTTCCAACACTAATGCACATATCTGTGTGTTTAACAGGGGGGCTGTCTGAGGCAGAGCAGGGGGGCCGACTACCTGGTTCCTCTTGATAAAGTCACTGCGGACGTTTTCTCTACATGGATAAGCACAACAGTCTCTCAAAAGATCTCCTGGCTTCACCCCATCATGAACATAAATCAAATAGACCTTTCTGTATTTTTAAAAAAAAGATTCTTTTTTTTAATGAATTCAAAATAAAAATAAAACTTTTATGGAACTTAACTTGTGTATGTGAAAGAAAAATAAAAAATAAATAACAGTGGTGATGTGAGCAGATGGACCGACTCACACAAGGCACAAACACAATAGGCAGAAGAAAACAGTAGGAGGCACAGAGCTGACTGTGTGAACATTAATGAAACAATTAGTTGTTTCCATTGTAGGAGGAAAAGTTAATTTTTAATTTTTTATTTCCATTTATTTATTTATTTATTATGTATTTTATCCGTATATTCTAATAGGACCAGTAAATGGAAATGTTTGTTTTTGAAAGGTTCAGATCTGGGTAGCTTTAAAAAAACATGTGCTTTTTCAATAAATATTATGTGTATATTTGAATTTGGTGAAGCATTATATATTTTCTGAATGTATGCGTGGGTGTGAATGATTATTTTTATATGTGATCCTGCTCTGCGCTGAGTGTAACTTGTCTTGGTTCAATGTTTTCAAAGCTTTAAAAGATAAATGTATAATCCACGGATGGAAAAGTGAAAGGATTAAAAAATATAAAACTTTTGTTTTTTGTAAAAACTCAATATGAATAAATCCTACATAAAAAAATAAGAATAATTTAAGTAGTGATGATTTCCCAGTGATCCACCTGACCATAATGAAAAGCCCTACTGTTCCAAAAGAAGCATGAGACAGAGCAGAAATGCCATACAGTTATGCAGAAGGTGACGTGGTAACAGCACATGTAGTGTTATGATGAGTGGGAGCTGAAATATACTGTGACAGACTAAAACCTACTGTATGTCATCTATAGGAGCTTTCAGCAGAGAGTCTGCAGCACAGACACAAACAGAGACAGAGAGAGTGGGCTGTTGTCAAACCGGCCCCTGTCACATGAGACTTACTCAGGCGCTTGCACACGGCCATGCAGTATTCCTCTGAGTCGAAATTGTTGCGGTTGCCAGCGCAGCCCCCATATATGAAGCGCACACACTTCCCATGGCGCATATCGAAGTGCCAGCGGGGCATGGAGGCACGGCAGGGGCCAGTCTCGGCCTCCAGGGAACACACCGCTGCCAGAGGACAGCTCGTTAGGTCATGTGGCCTCAAGTGGCGTCACCTTATTCCAGTCTCAGCTACAAACACTGTTGTTAAACATTACTCACCAAAGCTACGTCTAGAGGTAGAGTTACACTGATATAAAAGGCTAACGGCTCTCTGTATACGACAAGTGGGTTTAACAGCAGCTTAACCCAGAACAAGGGGATTAGACAATAAAGCATCAAAGCTATATGACAGAATCCAATGCAATGTGATCGATACTGAAAGAAAAAAATGAAATGATAATGTATGTGCTTTTTAATTACAATAACAGTTAGCAGTGATTCTTGAATGGTAAGTTTTGACCCTCCCTGTGCACAGTGCGCACTGTGAGCAGAGAACTGAGAATCTACCTCTCCCCTGAACCTAGAGAACTGAGAATCTACCTCTCCCCTGCAGGGGGTGCATTTGCGTCTTTTCTTTTCTTATTTGCTTGTTTGGGTTTGAATGGCAGCTGGGAATGATTGAAGTGAATGACTGCCACCAAAATTGTTAACTTTCATTGGTTTACAATTACAGATGACCCAATCATTCTACAAAAAAGTTTATTGTAAGAAGATTTCTATACTGAGGGGAAGACATTTCTATGATTCTATGATTTACTCTGAAGATTTATGAGTACAGCACAGCTAACAAATTTTAAAATCTTTAAAAGCAGGGATTTAAATTTGAAATGTAAAATGTGGAGTCCTGCTGTAGACCAAGAATATGATCCAGTGCTTTGACCAATTTTAAGTTGGGTCACGATCCACCATTTGAGAAACACCGGCCAACTGTAAAAAAAGGTTTCTTTCTTTTTTAAAATGTCAGCACAAAAAAATGAGAACACACCTTTTACTTCCTGCAGAGTTTTCTCTTCATCTTGGCTCTCTGTTGTTTTGCTGCTTTCTGTCTTCTCTTCCTCTTCTTCCTTATCCATATCCTCATCCTCATAGTCATAGTGGTACTCCTCTTCCTCATCATCTACCTCCTGCTCATCTTCATCCTCCTCCAGGGGTTCTTCCTTTTGTGTGGGCTGCTCCTCAACTGGCGTTTCACTGTGGAAGGAGAAGGGAGTGTAAAGTGGAGATAAATGAGTGAAGGGTGAAGCCAGGAAAAGGCATGATTCATCAAACAAGACCGAGCAGCTGCCATAGGTCAATGACACACACCTAAATTCATCCAGATGGCTGCTAATACCTGCCCTTCACAGGAGAGTGGATATTGAGTATACCATATTTCAAAGATATGACACGGTCATCAAAACAACTCCACAGCCACGGCCACAAACTCACCTGTTCTCCAGGACGTCATCCTCCTCCTGGACGTCTATCTCCTCATTCTCTATCTCCTCTTCTCTATCGTCCTTCAGGGAGGGCAGGGAAGGAGGTGCTGACTCCCCAGTGTGAGAGGAAGGGCAGCAAACATATTCCGTGCCATGGAACTTGTCGATACCACAGGGCAGAAGCATGCCGTAGCTGTGCAGCACCGTGGAGCTCTTGGCGCAGGCCTGATAGGACAAAGAGAGAGATAAACTGTCTGTTATGCTTTGTTCGTTACAAGTAAGAGAAAAAATACATTTTTGTCCTTGACATTATGGTATTATGAAGGGTTATACTTAACCCATTTTTCATAAAAAAACATCTTAATTGTGAGACAGATACAAAACGACCAACAGACACAAGTAAAAAATACTTTTTAACACCATCTTGTTTTATAAACAGTAATTTAAAGCCTCAGTGTTACTACTTACATCCTCGCTTGGCCACTATGATTTTTTTTCTCTTGACATTTTATTTTTCCCTGTACAAAGTATTGGACCAACATCACACAGCTTTAGAAGAAGAAGTTTCTGTAAGTTTCTCTCTTGACTCCCATACTTCCCGACAGTCTACGTTGTTTTAACAGTTTCACTTTTCGGAAGAGAATTTCCCAGAATTTTAAGCCATTTGACAAACACCATTAAACATGGGCAATTCTGTGAATACATTTAAGTGTTTTAACTAGTGTCTGAGTCATCATTTTTAAACTTAAAGACGAGTTCAAGGCACTGGAAGGAAAACTCAAAAAATGCACCGGCAGATGTTTGGTCCGAGGAAAACACTGAAATACTGTTATTATCAGCTTCATAGTCTGTCAATGCAAAGACAGGAATTTATCTCAGAGCTACAAGTCTGTATGACTTATAGTCCTTTGACAGTAACTGACATGTTTGAGGTTTCCTCATCCTACAAAACATGTCACTAACGATTTTTTAAGTTGGCTTTCTGGTCACACACGAAGCAGAATGATTAATGGGCTGCACACCCAAAAGGTTGTGTTGTCCTTTAGGTGCTGGCAACTTTTTCAATCATGCTGTGCTTCATGAAGCAGCTGGAAGGGACTGAGTGCAAATTCCAGCTGACTGATGGCTGCTCTGAAGGGTCGCACGAGAATGACGCAGATTTGGTAAAGATGGGATTTTGTTTTCCAATTCTACTCTCTACTTTCCACTGTACACGTGTTTTTTATGCCCCACGCTCCTTCGAAGACTGCAGGTGCATTTACAATAAAATGTGGAAAGAGAAGGCTTGGGGAATCACGAGCAGGGACATAAACAGAGACCTGACAGGTGAAATGAGCTCCTGGTTCTAGTGTGGTGATAGAATCTGGCCCAGGGGACGGCGGTGCTGCAGCCCAGAGGGAATAATTTGCATCAGGGCAACAACATAAATCAGATTAGGAACTGAAACGTGAGTGCTTCAAGTCACCGTGTGATCAGAGGACCTCCCCGTACATGCAAGTAAAAAGGGAACTGAGGAGAATGATTGATTAGGCAAACAGGGATATATTAAAGCCATAAAACTAAGCTGGTGAATTTGGAGGCTTTTACAGAGGGACATTTTTTTTAATCTGATACGAGTCAGACAGAGTCTCCCACTGCTTCCTCTAAACTAATTACTTCCTTACCTCTTTGGCCACTCCGTGCCACTGCTGATGACTGACGCACTTATCCTTATCCTCCTTGTGGAAGAACTTGCATTTCTCTGGAACCAGAAGCACGTCGCTTACAAACTCTCCCACTGCAACGAAACGAAAATAGACAAAAACAGTCAAAACATCAAACAAGCACAATTTCCAGTTTATTTGCATTTCTCTTTCCTCGTTTTTTAATTGTTTGAGGTAACAAAAGTCTGTTTTCTGATGTGACTTTGACAATCCATTATTGTTTTACCATAACCTTGCCTGTTGTTCTCTCAACAGAAGTCCAAAAGCCCGTTCATGAATCAGGTCAAACCCACATTGAAAAGAGTCAATCCATGTGTGTTTTATCTAATGCTTTTACAAGAATGGCACAGAGCAACTAATAACATAATGCCTTTGGCCAATGCGCCATCACTTGACATGGAAGCACAAAAAAAAAGCCGTAGTCTAAAACAATAAATCAACATTTAGGCCTAAAAAGGAATAGAAGATGAACAGAAAGAAGTGGCCTTGTTTAATAATTCATGTCTGCCTGGTCCATTAAAGTTCAGTGTAATTTCATTATAGTTAGATACAGGGGATTTGACACTCTGACATCTGTTCAAGCACCTGAATTCACAAGGGATTCATTTATTTCTCTAAAGCATCATCTGTCAATCATCTATGAAAATAGCAGCGCAGAAAATCAGGTTTCATACCCTGACTCTCTCGAGGCGTCTCAGACTCCTGCAAGTCAATGATATCATTTGCTTGATAAAATCCAATGCGTGCATGTTTTATTCATGGCGCTGACAAAGGGGCAAATTAGGAGAAACAGAAGACTTGAAAGGAATCTGGTGATATCCTATAAATACTTTAGGATTGTAAAACCATGTATGTGTACACTTTGGTACCGGGGTCGAAAAAAAGATTAAACAGGAGTGTGTGTGTGTTCAGGGTGTAGCTGCTTAACAGGGTCATTAAGAGTGAATGCCGCCATCAAAACAGATGGAAAGACAAAAAAGGTAAGTGTTATGGCTCAAACTGGAAAATGGGTGGTTAAAAATGCAAAAATGGGAGTCTGGAGGTTTCAAGACAATCGCTGCGAGCTGTTTTATAACTATTCATTTGGCCCATTAGCATGAGTCTGGCCTGAGGCGGAGCTGCTACAGGAGGACTACACATGAACGGAGCAAAGGCAAAGGAAAAAGCAGTGTTTTGGAAAATGAGAGGGTAGCATAGAAAGAGGAGTGCTGGAAATAGAAGAGGACTCAGCAGCTGCTTCTGATCTCCACCCAGGACACAACTTTACACCCCCCTCTTACAATCCTGCTCTCCTTCACCCTCACTCTCCTGCTCTGTTTGCCCACCAGTGACTAAATATAACATGAAAGCAAAGTTCCAATGTTGTTCTTCAAAACGCGGATGTTTACTGTATACAGTGTTTATCAAATCACTCTGAAATACATTGCCGGATAATGTTGATGATAAAATCACATCAGAAGATGCAGCAGATAATTTACAAAAAGTGATCTTTGCTTAGTTCTGAAAGTATTTGTATTGACTTTATAACTTGACAGTGACTTTGTGGTTTAGACATGCTTCTGATATTAAAAATAATCTGTGTGTTTTTGGCAGAAGATTTAACAGGATGCACACTCATAAAACCATTAATGATGTTATCATAAAATTATGTTTTTAAATTTTAGTATAAATTGATCAATCACTCAGCAAAAAACAAGTAGAATTTTACTTTTAAACTACTTTTAAACACTTTTGTCTTCACACGGACCATTTATATTTGAGCAACTTAAATGCTCTTAAATTTGATTGGTCTTAAAAAAAAACGAAAAAAAAAGAAAAGAAACCCGGGAGGTGTTGGGACCAAAATGTTCTTTGTGGGGTTTTTTTGTATAATAAAATGGTTAAGTGACGCCTGAATGCTTCAGTGGCTTTCCTCCTCTCTTTTTTTATTAACATATTTTTTTCTATCACTATAAGAATAGAGCGCTGCAGTGGAGTTGAGTGAGAGCTTGGCTCAATATCCTTGACACCGGATGCTAATTGATTCATTGCATCTCATTTCATTTCATCTCCCTTTTCTCTCTTCTCTTCTTCTTTCACTCTGACTCACACACACACTAACAGGTTGCCTATGTTATGAGGTGGAGTTGGTTTCATGTAGATGTTGTACTGACATTGCACTCTGATGGATGGTGGTGGTGGTTGGGGAAATCTGTGCGCTTCACAGGAACTGTGCTACAAGTACTTTAGTACAACCATTATGGGATTTAAAAAGGAAAATCACTTTGGACGTACATTTCACAGATTCAATTTGTACTAAATTCAACATCTTTTTAGAGACAGTGTTGCTGTTCAAGGTCATAAGAACGAACGGTCAGACAAATATCAAATTGTCTTTGCTTTTTACATGCTCAAACTATACTATAACAAAAACTATAGGCACAGACTATCAGGTTACAACTTTTACAAATTAGAACACTCAAAATATCTCTAAAAGTACCACGCTAAATGCAATATTTCAATGTGGGCTGCATTGTTTTTTTAAATGTCTAAGTCATTGTCATCATGATTTAATTTAAAAGGACCTTAGAAGTTAAACGTAACTCCTGAACTCTTGTTAACTTAACTAAGTTAAAAACAATAATCATCTACTCGTTACTCGCCCAAGGTTTGTTTTATTATTAGCTTAAGAAATAACTTTTTTTCCCTCAAAGTAACACTGTGTTCCAAAGTTCAGGCTCATTTGACAACATTTCAAGGGAGGCAAACAGCCACAGGTGTGGTTCTCTGATACAAGTCAGAATTTGTGCCTGTTATTAATCCATTTTACCTCCTGTGATATCAGTCATCGCTGTTAAGAGCCCTTCCCTAAAGTAAATCAACACACTTAGTCAACAGTGGAGGTAAAGAATGAGTCAGGTCTGAAAGGTCACTTATTAACCAACGACTGGTTTGGACACAACAATCCCATCTTTTTACTTTTAGACCGTATTTCCCTTCTTTGCACTTAAATTATTCATATGAAGACATTAACTTGACATTGCTGCTAGTCTGGTTCTTTTAATCACATTCTACACACTCTAGCCCCTTGGCCAACCTCATCTCATTTTGTTCTCCTGGTATAATTAATGTGCAATGATAAATATAAGGTACCAAATAATGAATGATTTAACAGCACTCCTCATTGCACTTGATGCGTTATGTAGGCTTGACAAATTACAGGCTAGTGAGGTGAGGCAGAAATCAGGTAGCAGAAGCATGCAGTGCACCTCCAAGTGTATGATCACAGCCCCCAATTCAGCCCCTTACATGCTCCATTACATAATTAAGCAAAGCGCTCAAAATTGCTTCCTCCTTGCCAACACCTTATGTTTTATCTGCCCTCCATCTGTCACTGTTAGACTGCTTTTCAAAGCTCTTTGTAATTTTAGGGGGAACAGAGTTCACAGTCACTTTCATAAAAATACTATTTGATGAATGCCAATGTGCAAATCAGGTTGAAATGTATATTTTAAAGCTGAGTATTCATGAATTTAGGGAAATTAAAATTACTCTATTTTTCTCCTGTATCTGTATTTTTGTCTATGTCCCTTTGTTTGTTTGAATTCTAACATGATTAGCTTAACATGTTTAGCTTTGCTTAACAAGCTATAGATCCTTTACTTAGGAATTCCAAATATTTAAATAATTTCCAATAATTAGTAAAATAAATGATCAAGTGTTAATTTATTATGTATATTATATATATTCACAGACTAATGAAGATATATAGAGTTGTACCACAGCTAGTCATTTTGTAGCTGCAGCTAGCTTTCGATGACTATTTGGTCTATCTACATGTAAAGATGTGTTCTCTTCTTTTGTAGGTCTCTGAGGATCTAGTCAAGATTTAGTGAAATTAATGCAGCCATGTTGCCTCTGCTGATCACTGCTGCAGGAGTCAGAGCAGGCAAGGAGATTCATATGACAGCGGTGGCAAATGGAGAAATAGGGAGTAATAAAGTGGGCCTCCACGCGGACATCCTTCCATCTTGTCCAGTGTATCTGTGTAGGTTTATAGCCACTGTCTAAGGAGGGAAATAAGATTGTTCTTTATTGCTCAACAAGCTTCCCCTGCAATAATAGCTTTACCCCTTTGGCTATTCCCCCAGGGAGACATAAGCTTTCATCACACCTAGATCTGCTAAATCTACCGTTCAAGGCCGAGGTCAGTCGACTGAATCAGATTCTGGTATTGCTTAATTTCACACTTGCTTATGGTTCACATGTAGCACACTTGTCTTGCACTGTGATGGGCATATTTATTTATTCATTGACCTTCAGTTGATATGTGACAGTCTATGCTAATTTTGCAAGCTTACCTAAACACTTGTAGGGCACCACAATATGGGCGTGGCCTTTGCACACCTTCTTCTCCTTCTTGCACCAGTTCTCAATTCGAATTGGCTGATTGGCCTCCACCACATTTGTGATCTGCAGCTCTGGGTACATCTGTTGACAGGAATATGAAAAAAAAATGCAAAGATGTAGATCAATTAGGACAGACCAAGATCTTTTTCTCACTGTGGTGTGTGTTTATATGTAGGCAGAATGGAAGGGGACGGGGTTGACGAGTAAATCTTCAGTAGCACTCTTTACATCTATGCCTCATGCTTTCTAGATGCCATCTACTCGATTGTGAAAGAGCATGCAATTTACTCTTCTCCCAAATGCCATTAAAATGTCATCAATAAATGCAACTGGAGCTTGAAGAGATAGCTTCTTGAAAATGTACAGCCACAATTCTTTTTCTTGGACAGCTGTGTAATAACGCATGACACTAAAATCAGCAGCCTCCAAGGTTAGACGACACACAGGCGAGGAGGATCTGTGAATAAAGATGTTCCTGTTCTGACAAAAATAACTCCTACTAATTATACAGACAGCCCAAACAAAACATAAAAGACTGCTAATGGAAACGCCACCGGCACTGACAAAATGACCGTTTCTAGAAACAGCATAAAAATTGATTACTGTAAAATGGAAACAGACATTTTCCATCATGAATTCCATCCTTTCAATATTACACAGTTCTGTTTGATTTCAACATGTTAATTTATGTATTACAGCCTGTCAACAGTGTAAATAAGCCTCAGACAATCCCACTAGTTATGGTTTACCCAGAAAATCTGATAAAAAGTGTTAATAGTCCAAATTAGAATATCTTTTAACACCTATTATCAATCCAAACTACTTGGAAATCAACCAGACACTGACAAAAACGTTTTTTACAGCTACAAAAGAAATTCATAGTTTTTAGTTGAAAGTCAAGGCAATTAAACGTGCTATTAGAGGAACTCTGATATGACATGACCAGGATTATATTCCTAACCTAAGGGCTTTTATGTCAGTCATCATAGATAAGTATCCGTAAGTATTTCTTAATTCTTGGTTATGTTTCAAGGAGGAAAATTAAATTCATTCCTAAAAACAGGGGGCTAGGAGCAACTTTACTTCACAACTGATCCTCTTGTACTACTATTTCCAGAGAATTTAAAAAAAAGTGAAATAGTTGAATCTAAATGAACCCTTAATAATGCATCAGCACATTTTAATTAGACCTGAAGGATTTTCCATTTCCCATAAAAATCAATTAGGGATCCTGTTCATCAGGTTTGATCACTTTTCAAGACTGCAGATTTTAAATACATTTCCTGATGACTGCCAGTAAACCATTCTGTGATTTAAAACATTCTATAAGATCATACTGTCCAACAGTTAACATTACAATGTGGTTTAAGAATGTGTCATAAATATATGTTCAGACATCGGGCAAGGTCTGATGCCTTACAAACGTATCAAAAAAAATGAAAAGGAAATGGAAGGAAACAAATGTGCTGATGGAACAGCTGGAGAAAGAACTGAAGGGAAAATAACTAAAATTAGCAGACCATTATTAACAGTCTGCTTTGTATCGTATTCTTAAAGATGCCTGAAGAGTGGATTTGGAAAATTAAAGTGTGCCTGGCATTGTTTATTTATAGGGTTTCCAACCTAAATGGGTTTTTGTTCTTGTTGAAAATTGCTTCCAAAATTAGACAATAAGTCTTGCCAAAACAACTGATATCGTTATATAGTTTTGTGTTAGCACCAGGGTACAAGAACTGCATTAATAGGAGTCCCTGTAGTGGAGGAAAATGGTTTAAGTTTGTAATGAGTAAGCAAGAATTGTTGGAAACTTTAGCTTTTAGCTTATAGGAGTAAAATGGACATTTTAAATAAATCTGCAACACACTGACAACACCACAAAAATATGATTTTTTTTTACATTGCTACATATTGAGCATAACACCAATTTGTAGATGACAAGGTTCTTTTGAAAAGCACTTTAGGATTCGTAATAGCATGCTAAATATTCACATTACTTTTGCATTTAGGGCAGATAAAAAAAAGTTATTTTGCAATACATTTTCACAAAAACTGCACTCTTGTACATGTATGAGAACCTCCACTTCTAGCACTTTCTGATTCATTGTTTATTGATAAGACTCCACTTTGCCTATACTCAGGCTTCAATCATTAACTTCCAGACATAAATATAGAAGGTGTCCTTGTGTCACCGCAGCTCACCTCCTGGCAGTACTGCAGAACACCCTCTTTGGTTCCTACACAGCTTTTGGTTCCAGATGGATCGGGTTCCCAGCGGCCGGTCTGGATGTTCACATGCATGTTGAGTTTTCCACAGAACATGGCAACCTGTGGCTCAGCCACAGCGAAACCAGTGCCTGCATTGGCTGCTAGGGCCTGAAAAAGAACAAAGAGAGGGGCATGGGGGTTAATGCAAATCAATCATTACAAATTCCACAACACCTCGGGGGGTAGCGTGAGACACTGTCTGGATCACACACTGTTTGCATAAACTACAACTTGGGCCCCTCACAGGAGACTGGTTCTGTTATAGGGACTGCTCGTGTACTGCAAAAGATAACTATACAAGACATGATGGAGCAACCTCATCAGCACAACCTGTCAACTTTTGGCTGCTGCCGCAACTCACTGCGGCAGTGCTGAGAGAGCAGGGGCTCCAGACGGAAGACAAATGACATTCACCTTGGGACTGTTTGGGTAGGTTGATGGTCAAATGACTAAGGATTTGATTGGATTTGTGCACAAGGATTTTTTTCTTGCTCTGATGGCCCTTGAGTGAGTGAGAGGGTCTTACAGAGAGGGTTTAGAAAACTGCAGTCTGTCATGCCTCACAAACCAGGACATTCCAAGCTTTGCTCATTCAAACCTCCAGGGACAAAAATCCTTTCCTCAAAGGATGGATCATTTACTCTTGGACGTAAACAAGAAACGTTGTTCATCCACTATCACTTTAACTAAACAGTCACATATAAGCAGCAGGCTTGTTGAGTTCGTTTTTAGAGAAGTATATTTCTGTGGCTTCCAGACAGCCTTTCTGTTTTTTTTTTTTTACCTCCCATCCTTTAAATAGAAGAGAATTTTTGGATTTTTAGTCCTCTGTTGTCATTCCTGTCATCATTTGCTGAACTTGACGACAGGAAGCAGAAACATCCAGTCTGCTCTTTCTTCACTAAAAATAAATAAATGTGTCTTGCTTTACAAGATGGTCGCCTGCCATCTCACTACACTGTAATCAACTCTTCTGTGAATGCCTTTCAAATGACTTCACGGAGTGGTAGCTACAATTAACTCATCAACCTCTCGCTGTGCTGGTAAATCTCAGCACCAGCCTGTTGAAATGAGTGGTCACAGCACAACAGAATCTCAGGGGTAAATGGTGTGATGTAGCAATGCATTGAGCACTATTCACAGAACACACCAGGGATCTTTTAAGAGGAAGTGGAATGGAACCTTTCCTCTCCTGATCGTCATAATCTCATTAGCAAGAGACAACACACGTGAGCCCTGCTGAGAGATTATGAGATCAAGTGTTGACCCATGTATCAGATGGACTGCGAAGAGTTACCCTGGGCAGCGTCCAGGCCAAGAGTCAATGGTTCAAATGAGAGACAATGACTTGATGAGCCAACGTTAATGCTTGGTTAAACAATGTAAATTGGCTATTGTCCCATGAAGCAGTCCCCAGAGGAAGGGCATTGGTTAAATGACTAAAGTATGACCCCCTTTGAAATGAATGGGGTGAAGTTGAAGTCCCTTATTTGTCCCACAATCTGGAAATTGACAGTGTTAGTCTTGGCGACCCACACAGGCTGCCACAGGAGGTGCCATAAAGTATGTGGTAGTATCTCTAATGATGGCCTCCTGCTGGTGGTATCTATCTACAGACAGTGCTAGTATGACACTGAGCAAGGCAACAGCATGACCAATGAAATTCTTTGTTGGGTCTGAATGGACATATGCATGCAGCAGCACTTTCAACAGTTAATCCACACCACATAAACAGAACTGTGCCAGTATTTCCAGACACTGGAGTCATTATTCAGACATAGGCAAATTAATAACTACAGACAACAAGCAGCGTTAAATCAGCTGACCAAGCCTTTTTTTTATATTGCCAAGGGTGTCCCAATTTGTGCGGAGATAGATGGGTGGATTAAAAACCTTCAGAATTTTTAACATGCACAGAGAGAATTGAATCCTCCACACACACAGGTCATTTTCCCTTTTACGATGACACAAGGATACTAACCTCTACCATATTCTAATAACATTTTCAGTTGTGGTCACACACACACATAATAAATGCACACGTTCATTATAGTAATCACCTGAATGCATTAACCAAAGCGCTTAATCTAACCCTGCACAGGCTCTGGAGCAGATAATGGAATCGAATCTGAGTAAAGAGAGGACAAAACAAAGTGCAGCGTAATCAGCAGTTGGCTGTGGTATGTGATGAGCGGCAGAGGCAGTCAGAGCTGAGTCTGCACACACATGGATGAACGTATTCAGTCACAAAAACAAACTGGTCCGTACTACCAACAGAGGACACACAAACATCACACGCACAGAAAAACACAGACACAGAACAGCAGCACATTCCTATGTGAGCAGAGCAGACCAGCAAACACTCTGGACTATTTGTTTTAGTCCTGGAGGCAAAACAGAGTCCTTTCCCCTCCTTTCTCCATCTCTGTGCTTTTCTACTGGTCAACCCCTCCTTCTCTGCACCACCACAGTCTTGTTTTTCTTTCCTTACTCTCATTCTTCCGTTAGATTAGCTTCAGGTTCTTAAAATGCAGAGAGAAAATAAGCGGGAGAAGCCAAGATAAGATAACACTGACAGTGCAACCACAGTACGACTCCAGCTGCTATAAAGGTCTCAGAATGCACATTAACTTATAATCTAACTGTCTTCAGTTCCCCTTAAACTGCACGTGTAAATGCACATTTTTAATATATTTTTTAATATATTTAAAGATACATCATTACGACTAAGAAATAGAGCCAGACGTTGCCATTAACAGGAGTTGGTGCTAAAATGGCATGACGGTGCTATAAAATATAGATGATGATCTGCTACCATAAAAAATTGAAATGAAGAGAAGGAGAAATAGATGAAAGAAAATAACATTACTTGTACTGTTTTTAGTGAAGGGACACTTGTAAAAAAAAACCTCAGTTCTCTTGCAGTCGTTGTGCTTCTGTCTCACAAATTTTTTTTAAATCATGTTCTGCATCATGGCCGAGCCAAATGTTCTTCCATCCTCTTTTTCTTTGAAGACGCATTTGCCTGCGTTGTTATAATTTATGTCGAATAATTTAGCCATAACCTTTGAGAGTAAACGCATATAAAAAGGTACGTTGCAGTAAACACTGTATATATACGGCTCAGTCTGGCAACTGGCTTTCATTCTCTAAGTGTAAAGAAACTGTACTGAACACAGAGGTGAGCTGGTTAATGCTACTGCCTTAAATCTGCAGTCACATGCCTCTAAAGCACTTATATAGGGCTGCTCTGAGCCAGGCACAGTAAAGTGCTATGGAGCGCAGCAAATAGCACAAGACTAGGACGAACAAAGGAGGAAGAAAAGGGAAGACTCTTATCAGATGTATGGTTTTGCTCTAATATCTCTTCCCCCCTGTTCCTACATACTCTGGGAAAAATGCATTTAACCATATAATGAAATAAACTGAAAAAAACATATTTAGCTCAGTCTTAAGCAGCCACAACAGACAGTTTGTATTTTTTCATTATGCAGTACATTAGCTAGAACAGGTGGTGTATACCAGTAATTGAAAACATGAAGAACAGTTAACCTAACATGAGTGATCCTAATGCTGATTTCATCAATACATTACGTCTGTGTCCAAATCCAATTTTGCAAATCTGCTGCAACTGCCATAATGTGTAAAATGATTAATGTTTTCATTATAAGATATTAAACAGACATTAACAAGAAATAAATTTACATTTTTATTTAGCCTGTTTCTTCCCACTTTCCTACCATGATTTGACAAAACTGAACTTCTCCCTGAAGGTTATGTAAGATCATCCAACGAAAT